GGGAGTACATTGCCAAGCAACGTTGAGAAGGACCCAGGACTGACTGTTGTGGCCCTTCATTCACTTGCCGTTTCCAGTCTGAGAAGGAAACCCTCAAGACTACACATTTCTAAATAAAAGTCATTTTTTCAAATATCTTACACTAATTTTAAAGATGGAATATGTTCTTAAATTAATAATAAAACTAACTTATTGTAATCATTTGCATTTTAAGAGGCATTTATTATTATGATTAGTTTCCTCTGTGTGTGCATGTGTGTATTTGTTTGCTTCTATCTAATTTAGAATCAGCAGTGTTCATCCCTTTAAAAAATATGTTTATCTCTAAGGCAGAGTGATATTACAGTTGCATTAATATACATTGTACATTGATTCTTCAAATGACCCTGTGCAGTTATAAAGCAGATCCATTATGCTCTTGTCAATCAAAATCCTCTAAAACAGCATATAGATAACAGTGTATTTCTTGCAACCGTTGGTTAATAAATCCCAGCTTAAATAAATTTAAATTCTCTTAATTTTAATGCAATATATTTAAACCCTGTGTTCCACTGGAATAATGATATTTGGAAGACCTTATTTTGAGATGAACTGAGCTTCAACCTGAGTATTTCAGGGATGTATTATCTGAAACTATTAAAGATGAAACATATAAATAGGAATCCTTGGTGCTCTTAGAGCTTGGTTGTTTGCTTGCAGACATTTCATTACCCAAATGGGTAATATTATCAGTGCAGTGAGTGTGAGGCTTACCCTATTAGTGGAGGCGTTCATAGGTCTTCATAGTTCCTTGATTAAAGAATTGTTTTCTGCTTGGTTATTTGTCTGGAGTTAATCCCTGTTTATTTCGATGTTGGTTGCTGGAGAGGATATGTTCTAATCTTTTTGTTTCCTATTTAGCTTTTTTATTGTCTCTTTAAAATGGAGTGAATGTGGTTTATCTCCATGTGTCTATTGATGGCTGATTTTTTTAATGCTAAGGAGCAAGTTACTGTATCTAAAATGTATATAAAACGGGGGCAAACCCCATAGCACTGGTGATGTTACCCAGTCAGCTAGTGAAACATCTGCATTCTGCAAGCAAACAACCAAGCTCAGAGAGCACCAGATTCTCCATAATTCAACCCTGAAATACATCTATTGTCTTCTTTTAAGATTTATAGATATGCCACAGGTTTTTTTTAAACAAACTCTGACTTTCTCAGTATTTTGTTTGCATAACAAACAAAAAACCATATCACTAAAAAGTTTTCAAAAAAAAAAAACTTTTTAGAAATGTTTAACAGGTAGAATTTACCGACCTTCCATAATGAATGAATAATGCTACGGCAAAGTTCTTTTTCTTATTTAATACTGACATGACGCATAAATGAATGTGCATTGTTTGCATTTTTCTTGCATGTTCTTATGCATAGATTTATGTATGAACTAAAAATCATATCCTATGATATTTAGAAACCTAGACAGAGGGCATGAAACCCCAACCTTTGGAATCTAACAGAATTAATGCAGGATATTAAAAGCTTCACACAAGAACCATGTTGAACTTTAATTACACTCAGTACTCAGGATATTCTCTTTGTTATTTAGCACTTGGAAAGAGCTTTTGGTACCAATAAAGCTACAATAAATTTATAGCTCGGAGGGATGAAATAAAGGAGACTTGGTGCTCTCTCAGCTTGGTAAAAGAGCTTTCAGTAAAAATCAACTTTGTATAAAAACAAGTTGAAATAAAACATTCTCTACATTCTGCTTCTTAGGCAGTATCAGAATGTTCTTTCTTTGTACACATCACTTACACAGTAATATTTGAAGGAAGAATGCATGCCTTCTCTTTTTCTAGTAGTTTTTCAGTTATAAGAACCATTGATAAAGCAAGATAACTTTCAGTCATCTTCTGGATACAAGTATCTATTATGCCAATTTATTGCAAGAAAGCTATTGTGCCTATTTCCTTCCTGTGGGCTTGATCCAGGTTCCATTAAATCTTAAAGTCAAGGTATTTTAAACTAACACTATGGGCCTTTGCCCCCTTGCATCCAACTATAGCACAAGCCTATTCTGGCAACTTCTTTTTACTGCTGTTTTCCCTGCACGCTATCCTTACCTTTACCAGAGTTAAATTACCCTTTCCCCCATTAAGCCAACAACATCTAAGACATGCATGAGAGAGTTTAAAATTTATTAGCCTTAAGAAACAGGTTCCTTGGATCAGGGCCATCTGCGGGATATGGTTAAAAAAATATCTCAAAATGGCAGGCCACGATTGAATGATTGTGATATACATAAAAATCTGGCAGAGCTTTGACTGCATCACTGCAGGAATCCTGACAGGGCACACTTTTGGAAATCCCTGCTTTGGCAGGGAATTTACTTTGTCCCTCTATATCATCTCATTTTACCCAGTCAGCCAGCAAAGGCATGTTATGGACCCCAGTCAGCCAAAGGATTCCAATTGGTGGGGTCCCAGAAGAGAGCTCTCTTTGCTGTCATCCTCCTGTGGAATATTCTTCCCACAGAGGTTGGGTCCTCACTCTCCTGGCCTTCTGAAAAGGCATGAAAACATGGCTTTGTGGCCTTGCTTGGAGGAACATGCAGCCTTGAACTGGTTAGCCCCCCAAAAGCCCTCCCCCTCCTTTTAATTAATTTTTAACATTGCTTTCCATTTTTAAAATTTATATATTATGTTTACACTTTTAATATTTTATTTGAACGTTGCCCAAAGTTCCTTTGTGAGGGAGATAGGCAGTTTTAAAAGTTGATAAATACTGGATTATAGGCAACAGAGGATAGGAATTGGGGATATTTAACAAATTACAGTACTTTTCTACCAATTCAAGGAGGGTGGGTAGATATGAACTCAGCAGGTGGGAAACATGCTCTGGCATTGCTAGGGTGAACTCACTATTTTTAACATGGGCACTCTGGAAAGAAGGAAACCCAACATTTTCCACACAGTCTGCCCTATACTCTTTTTCCTCTCCCTCCCCTCTCCTTATTTTTTTCCACAACACTTCAGACTACCAATTCAAAGCCCTCCAACTTCTCTTTCCCCAGGCCTCTTGGTCCTCAGGTACCTATTTCAGCTGCCTGTGTGAGGGATGTAACATGCATGCCACCCAGGGGTAAAATCCAGCAGGTTCTGACAGGTTCTGGAAAACCAGTAGCGGAAATTTTGAGCAGTTCAGAGAACCGGTAGTGGAAATTTTGAATAGTTCAGAGAACTGGCAAATACTGGCTGGCCCCAGAGTGGGGTGGGATTGGAGATTTTGTAATACCCTTCCCCTGGAGTGGGGTGGGAATGGAGATTTTACAATATCCTTCCCTGGAGTGGGGTGGGAATGGAGATTTTACAGTATCCTTCCCCTGCAACGCCCACCAAGCCACACCACGTCCAAGCCATGCCCACAGAAGTGGTAGTAAAAAACTTTGGATTCCACCACTGATGCCACCCAAAAACTGGCACATGGCCCTCTCCTCAGCAAGAAGGTGGTGCTTAGCATTGGCATCAGCCTCTCACTCTCCAGGTCGCTGATGCCCAGCTTTCTAGCTCTCCCTGCCCAAACATCACTGCCCATGCTAGCTCTGGGCTCCTCTTGGAATTCAGTTTGGCCTTGTGTGCCCTAGAAAGACCACATTGGGGTTAGAACGTTGTGGAGAAAAATCTATTTTTGTGCTTGCTAGAGAGGAAAAACAATTTGATGGCACATATTCAATCAGTCAATATCTGGCAGGGCATACATTGCAAAGCATATAGATCCGGGGTGTAGGAGTTTCAAGGTTAGAGGAAAATTTTTTAGTCTAAGCCCAGGGTCAGCGACTTGTGACTCTGGAACCGTATGTGGCTCTTTGGGCCCTCTGCTGTGGCTCCATCAGGTGATCCCACCATCGGCTGGCCCCGCCGCTCACCCTTCCCTCCCAGTTACTCCTCACCTGGCCTGAGAAGATAAGGGCGACGACGGGAGATGGAGAAGCGGCCAGGACAGAGACAGAGAGATACAGAGAGAGGAGGGGGGGGGAGAGAGAGAGACATAGAGAGATAAATTGGGTTTTTAAATGTTTTTTAGATAAATTGGATGTCTTAAATTTTGTTTTTTGAGCCTAAATTATTTAATCTGTTTTTAATAGTTTTTAAACTTTTGTATGTCTTTGTATTTTATCTTGGCTGTTCACTGCCCTGAGTCCTTCAGGAGTAGGGCAGTATACAAATATGATTAATAAATAAATAAATAAATAAATAAATAAATAAATAAATAAATAAATAACAGAGAGCAGGGGAGAGAGGGAGGGAGGGAGGGGAGAGAGAGAGATGTCAAAAGGATTTTGTGGTTCCTGGTGTTTTTTAACAACTGGTTCTCTGCCCTAGGAAAGATCATGTGACTGGTGGAAGTGAGTGACATGAAGCTGGCCACGCCCACCCAGGTTTTGTGGCTCCCAATGTTTTCTTTTCTGTGGGAAACGGGTCCAAATGGCTTTTTGAGTATTTAAGGTTGCAGACCCCTGGTCTAAGCAGACTGATCTAGAGCTCTCTGAGGCAGGAAGCTGAGTGAAGCCCCCCTCCCGCTTGCGCTTTTCAGGAGCTTTCCAGAAGTATTTCAGGACTATTTCGAATTTTCCAATCCTTCCGAAAAGTTTCGTTCAATTTTATGGCGAGCAAGCATTCTAGATCTTGTGGAAGTCAGAAATAATAACTGCTGGAGAGTCGGGGGTGTTTTAGAAGCTCTTTCTGCTATCTCGAGAAACGCGTTTCTCTAAGGGGAAAAATATATATTGCCGCTTTCTCTTCTTCCAGGATCACCTTCGGGCTGAGCAGACGAAGAAGGGAACAAAACCTCGCCTTTTCTTAGCCCCCACTCGGGCCGCCAGCCCTATAGAAAGCCTTCAGGCGAGGGGGGCGCCCTCTGCGGTTTGCTCGCGCTTGCGCTTCGACCCGGGCAAGGAGAGAGCGACCGAGCGGGCTAGGAACACGTGGGAATGAGGTCACAGAGCCGCGAGGGTTCTGCCGCCGTCGCCCGCGTCTTAGCGACCGAACCCCCAAGAAAATAAAGAGGAGAAAGGGATGTTAGGAGACTTTCCAGGCTCCTACATCAGGTAGTCGCTGGAGAATCATGGCGCGCTTTGGCACGGGTGCAGCACCCGCCTATCTGCTTCTCCTCCTCGCTTTTTTGCCCAGCCGAGAAAGTCAGCCGGGGTTCCGACTGGGAGAACGTGACCCAGGTAGCGTGGGTCGGGTTCAGGTAGGGTGGGGACCGCGGATGTGGTGGTGAACCCGTTTTGTGAACCCCGTCGGCTCTGACGAATTGCCATTTCGGTAACGCTCTCCAGATTGCTTCGTATCACCTTCTCGGGGTTCTTCACAATAACGTTGTTGGGTTTCCGTTCCCGGTCTGATTTGACAAGTTGATAATAAATGATTTTTCTCAGGCTTGTCTAGTGAAAGCAAGCACGGAAGAGAACTTGAACCCAAATGTTCAGAACCAGACACTTGGTTTTCCTGACTGTTTAAACCAGGGGTCTCCAACCTTGGCAACTTTAAGCCTGGAGGACTTCAATTCCCAGAATTCGCTGGCTGGGGAATTCTGGGAGTTGAAGTCCACCAGGCTTAAAGTTGCCAAGGTTGGAGACCCCTGGTTTAAACTCATCTGCAAACTTTAAATCATGTACTGATGATGCACTTTATGGGACGTTAGAGATAATTGTGGTCAAAGACCTGAAAAATCCTATTTATGCTTTTTGGCATCCTGTGAGCCAGGTTCTCTGGAGCAAGAGAGTCAAGATTATTTTCTTAGTACACAACTTGTGTCTTATCAAGATGAATTGGGCATACGCTAGTCAGATAGCTTTAGCCATCAGAACCAGAAATATTTACTGTTGTTCTGATTTTTGCTCCAGGCGATAGAATCTACAAATTATGTCTGTAGACTGATTCTTCCTGAACTCACCAATCATGGTAGCAATGTTTCCTGGTAATAGTCTCCCCCCTTCCTATCTTTGGACATTGTCTCATGATGGTGCCCTCATCTCATCTCCACCCGAAGCGGCTTAAAATCACCCTGAGCTAAAGTGGAATGTTTGCTTTTCTGACAATACTTTTTCAGTTCTAGAATATGAACTGCTATTTTCCCCCAATCATTTGATGGCTAGACAGTCAAGGGGTTAGGGATTGCCCAGCTTCTATTGGCCACTTTAGGCTGCTGCCAGTATGCCTGCTTTCTTCTAGTTACTGAAACTAAATCCTACCCTCCGTTACCATTTCGACTTGGCCATGAACATGGCTGCAGGATATCTGGCTTCCTCAGAGACATTTGCTGGCATAATGCCTGATTGGTACTTTCTATAGCACTTGTAAGGATTTAAGCGGGTTCCTTATAAGTATAGGTTTAGTGCTGTTTAGTGGTGTTTTGAAAGAGCATTAAACTTATGTTTAAAAAGAAAGAAAAGGGGGCAAGTGCTATGCAGCAGAGAAGATTAATTTAAATTGAGAAAGGTGGCTGTTATGTCAGCAATCTGTTGCTAATTCTGTTATCTGATGAGTTTACAAGTTTTCTGTTGCCTCTCTGGACAAAGGGTTTCATTTTCTTTTATCATTACTTTGATGGGAGGATTGTGCCATTTTGCTTACTTCATTCTGGCTTTTAGTGGCAGTAGATGCTGCTAGCCATATGGTCAGAATTTGATATTCTGCCCATTTGCTGCCAACACTGGCATAGCTTTGGAGTACTAGTCAAAGGTGGAGTTTCCTCATCATTACCTCTTGTTTTACATTGCACATTTTCTCCATGCCTACTGCATGTTCCCTGGGCTATTTATGAACACAGGTTTAGTGTTCTTTCAGAAAAACCTCTAGAACTCAGTCCAGAAAAAGCTCTACTGACAGATTACAGCTGTGTGTTAAGAAGTGGTTAATCCTGCTGTTCTAAGCACCCATCTACATGTGCCCAATACTGCCCCATTAAGGAGAATAATTGTCGATGTTCTCCTGCCAGGAAATGGAAAGGAAAACATAGCTGGGGAATATAGCAATCCCTTTACTTAATTTGGCTTGCAGTAAGAATGTAAGACAGTGTCCTTCACCAGACCCTTATGTTTGCAGATCAGGGATCAGCAATGCAGGCAGAACAACTCATGCCAGTATACTTATGTGCCAACGCAATAATTTATGGGTAGCAGTTTAGTGTGGCTTTCTCAAAGAGCCTTCTCTTTGATTTAATGGAGACTTAGGGACCAAGAAAACAGAGAACAAAAGGGAGACCTGGAAAATGAGAAGGTGGAACAGTTTCACACATAATGAAAGATAGTGCTCAAAACTTCAGCTGTTTCTGTGCCAGCACAGCACATAAACTAGTGTTTCTCAAGCTTGGCAACTTGAAAATAAGTTGATTTCAACTCCCAGAATTTCCCAGTCAGTGTGCTTACTGCCTGGGGAATTCTGGGAGTTGAAGTCCACATGTCTTCAAGTTGCCAAGTTGATCCCAGGCCTCGCAGAGCTGAGAGGAGGGAGGTGCAATGGAGGTTGGTGAGGACCAGGAGTGGAAATTCAGCCAGGTTCTGACAGGTTCTGGAGAATTGGTAGCGGCAATTTTGAGTAGTTTGGAGAACCGGCAAATACCGCCTCTGGCTGGCCCCAGAGTGTGGTGGGAATGGAGATTTTGCAGTATCCTTCCCCTGGAGTAAGGTGGTGTAGGAAGTTAGCACCCACCCCTTTCCTGGAAGAGTGAAATATTTTAGGAAATATGAAAAAGGCAGAATATTATATTTCCCTGGATGAGAAATATGAGAAGCATATTTTACAGACAAAGCAGCTCCCACCTTCCTGCCCCCCACCCTTTGTCAATGGGCCATTAAGGCCTGGGCCAGTCTATTCTACATAACAAAGATCTGCCTCCTTCAGGCAGAGCCATAGTAGGAATTACCAAAGATCCAACAAAGATAGGATTAGCCCTCTACACAATAGCAGCAGAAACCCACCACATGGCACCTGGGAAGATTGCATCAGCCAGCAAGACCCCCACCCCCTGGGAGTCTGGCAACCAATCAGGATACTCTTTCGGGGCCCCAAGTAATGCAGAGCCAGAGAGAGCATAAAAACCCGAGGATTTACTGTATCTGCCCCTTTTCTGTTCAGGAACTCAAGCCATGTGATCCTGTCCACCATTAAACCATCTTTCCAAGCAGTCTCCATGTTTCCAGTGTCTGTTTCCCCACTTGGAGCAGAACCCAGAAGGATGTTTCTTCCAACAGTGGGAATGGAGATATAGCTTTTACATTCCAATTTTAGAAACAGAGATTTGTTTATTTCATTATTATTATATGATTTCTGACAAATAGGCAAAGAGTCTACTTCAATTATTTTATTTGCATTTATTTGATGAATACTTTATAAACTTGTCTATGCTGCAATCACTAGAAATTAAAATGTGCCATACTACTTTAGTAACTATGTACAGTATAATAATAATAAGATCATTGAATAAATAATAGAAGTTGGAAGAGTAATGAGCAAGCTGACATTTGACAGTGTTGTTAAAAACCATATAGTTGTTTTTAAAAAGATATTTACCGCATAGGCTTACTTGCTTCCTCCCACATTGTTTTCAATCATAATTATGGGACTGACACTGAATACAAAAAGAATATTTTTAACCAAGTGTTCAGATGATGCAGCTGTACTCATTCTTAATCACCCATTAATGTTTCCTCAAAAAATGTACTGTACTTTTTGTTTGTTTCATTTACCAAAGGTCAGCATACTTGGAAGCAATTGTCATGCACCATTACAGACCTTTTTACATATTTTTCTTGTATTGTTCTAAGCTATCATGTGCGCAAATGAGTCAATTGGTATGCAGATTGTCTGTCATTAAGACCATTTGAAAATCAGCTTTGTCATTGCTTTAGAGTTGGAAGTTTGGATTCATGCATATACTTTTTGAATATGTTGTGGCTTTCAGAATCACTCTGATGATGGATGGTCATGCCAGAGTGAATAGTTCTCTAGACAGTAGCCAGTCTAACTGACTGGTGATTTATTGTTCTTCTATCTCCAAGTAGAAGTAGGTTGAGAACCAATATTAGTTCTTAATGTCATATTACAGAGGCATTGTTGTATTTTAGTATATTCTTTTATTTTACATATATATATATATACATACATACATACATACATACATACATACATACATACATACACACACACACAGCAGTTTATGCAACTCTTTGCACCAAGAAGCTAAGGCTGGGAGCCATACTAATTTTTCAAGTGCCATAAATACCATGTTTCCCCAAAAATACAACCTACCCCAAAAATGAGTCCCAGCCTGTTTTTTATGCGTGCATCTAATATAAGCCCTTCCCCAAAACTAAGCTCTAGTGAAGGGGATGGGCATGGGCAGCATAGGAGGCGGCAAGCACGGAGTACCTGTACAAGCAGCAAGTGGAAGCAGAGGTGTTGGGAGGCAGGTGATCCAGACAAGCCATGTGGGCCGTGAGAAAACCGAGCGGTAGTGAACTGAAGCAGCAGCCGGCTGCAGGAGGATCACCTTTGTGTCTCTTGGCTTGCCTGCCTTCCACTCCATGCGTCAGGATTGCCTGCCTTCCACTCCGTGTGTCAGGATCACCTGCCTTCCGCTCCCTGCCTTCTGCTTTCCGCAGCCCCAGAGTACATCGACCAAGGGACAATCACACTTCAGTTGCTGCCGGATACCATCGGTCCCCGTGCACTTGCAGGCTCTTACATGTGCGCTGGGAATGGGGCGCCTAGTTAGGCTGATCACCCCTGAATTTCCCCTAAAATAAGCCCTAGTGCTTATTTTGGGGCCCAAAAGAAAATAAGACCGGGTCTTATTTTTGGGGAAACACAGATAGCAGCATGGTTGGACATCATTGCATTATCAGCATGGGTGGGTGCTTATTTTAATTTTTAAAATATTTTAATTCATATTATTGCACTTTTGTTGTTTATTTGTATTGTTTTCATTGCTTTATTTGTTTACATTTTAAATATTTTTTTCCGTTTTACTGTTGTAAGCCATCCAGGCCTGGTGACAAGGCCATGTCTTTAAGATCTTCTTTGTGGGATGGAGCAAAATGGGTGCTTTTGGTTTGGCTTAATTTTAAGGTACCCAGCAGGCATCTTATATCCCAAAAAACTGGCTGGCCTGTTTTTTGTTTTTAGGGAACAATTAAGAGGTGAAATGAGTCGCTTAGCCGTCTACAAGATTTGTTTTCAAAGTGAACTTTTCTTTTACGTTACTTTAGCAGCCATTTTTTACATTCTACAATATAAACAAAAACTGAAATCAGGGATCTATTGGAGTTTGAGGTGAACCAAGTATCCATGCCATGCGTTCTTTTAATATTTCAGTATTGGTCAAATTAGAGATGAAGCAACATCTTATTTTTAGTAGGTTTTTTTTTTCTTCTCTTAAGGTATTTCCCAATTCTTCTAGTAATGGCTCCATTTCAGAAAAGCTCTTAACACTGAAAATTCTCCATTTTTCTCCATTAGGGGTTAATGGAACCTCTTTGTGGAATAACGCACAAATTCAGGTTTGCTTTCTAGTTGTCCAATTTGAGTTCTTGAGATTTTCCTCACCTTGTCTTTGCATGTCGCCCAGCTTAATTTACTGTTCATTGGCCTAATCAAAATAATACCCATTTGCTTCAAAACAGTTTACACAAGAAAATATTTTCTTGAACTCAGTCTGGTTTTTTGTGAATTAAAAAGTCATCCACTTTCACTACTTTATTCCTTCCCCACCCTACTCCAAGTGTGGACTTTGATTTCTACCATTTCCGAAGGCTAGGATGCTTCATTGGATCAGAATTTGTAAATCAAATAAAATATCATGAGTCTAATCACTGTTAGACAATGCCATGGTTAAAAATGGCTTGAATTACAGGTTGAATAAACTATGAAAAAGAGGACCTTAGAAAGAATATGGCACAAATTTTCTTAATGTATCATGTATCTCTCTAATCAGAAAATTTGGTTTTATTTTCTGCCAAGTTCAGTGGGTACATGTCTTGATATAACATCCCCAGACTTTTCAGAAAGTTTTAGTATAATTGATTAAACTGATGTAAAATAATTAAACATGAACTTATTATTTATTTATTGCAGATGCTTATGCTTCAGCAGATTCAAAAAATAATCTTAAAGAAATTATTAAATTCCTTGGTAAGTAGCCATTTTCTGGTAGCATAATAACATGACTTATTACAATACAAAGGTGTGTGGAATATTTTTTTATTAAATTTGATTTATATGCGGCCCTTCTCCGGAGACTCAGGGCGGCTTACAATGCGTTAAGCAATAGCCTTCATACTTTTGTATATTTATACAAAGTCAGTTTATTGCCCCCACAAACTGGGTTTAGTTTTGTATTTGTATTTAAAATATAACCCATAACCTGAGCTCTCTTTCCCTCAAAATAATTAAAAATAGTTAATTGTGTATTAATATTTTATTCATTTTATTCATTTATATTTATTTATTATGGATTTGGGATAGCTTTACATATTTTATCTGACAACATCAGACAATATATGAAGATGACTACTGTTTTTTGTCAGTGAGTTCTTAACTGTTATAATCTTATTGCTGCCTTAGCAGTCCCCCCCCCCCTCTTCTTTTATTAAACAGATTTCTGGAGATTTTGCCTGCCTTTTAAGTTTTTTTCCCCATTTATTTTTTTGTATTCAAAGAAAAGTTAAAAAACTCTAAAATGTTTGTAAAAAAACAAAAAACAAACAAAATAATTTAAACATTAAAAAGTGAATTAAAACCCCACAATATATGCACATATTATTGTCCTAATTAAATACTGATTAATACATTAGTACAACATTGGTTCCCACCCTTGCAAAACAGCCTTCCCACCCAAATTTTTGAACTAGTAAATCCATTTGCAAATTAGTGACCTGTATCTATATAGTATAATAATGACAAAGTAGTTAATAAGAATAATAACAATAATAACATTAATATGATGATGTTGATGATGATGATGATGTCGATGAAGAAGAGGAAGGAGGAGGAGGAGGAGGAGGAGAAGAAGAAGAAGTAGTTAAAATTTCAGAACCCTCTGTTAATCAACTGTTATTGTAATCATGTCATAGAAAATTTGCCACAAATTTTATCTATACCCAAACCATCCCAAAATTTAAGTAATTCATCCTGGATCAAATATCCACATTTGTTTCTTAATGGAATATCTTATCAATTGTCTAATTACAGTAAATATAATAAATTCAATCTCTATAGCAGATCTATCTTCCCAACAAAGTCCAAATAGAAGTGGTTTCAAATTAAGGGTAATAAATCCATTCTCCAATCTCTCGCAGTCATCCTTGGAAAATATAATTTGTCATTTCTCTCTTCAGTCAAACTTCTAATTCACTTCTAAGTTACTTCTCCATCTGTGAAGTCCATATCTCTCTCATCTGCAACTTTCATATTAGAGTCCTTTTGTGAATTTAATGAGGTGGTGCAGTGGTTAGAGTGCAGTACTGCAGCTACTTCAGCTGACTGCTAGTTCAGCAGATCAGCAGATCAAATCTCACCGGCTCAAGGTTGACTCAGCCTTCCATCCTTCCGAGGTGGGTAAAATGAGGACCCAGATTGTTGGGGGCAATATGCTATTTAGTATACTGTCTTTGGTGTAAGCCGCCCAGAGTCCTCGGAGAGTGGGCGGCATAGAAATACGAATAATAAATAAATACGAATAATAGATTCAAAGCTTCTGCATATTTTCCATTACCATCTCATCAAACTTTTTTTTAAAAAAATTTCAACCAAAAATTACACTTTACCAGAGAGTCTTTTCAGCCACCTTCCTTGTCTGCATTGTGATACATTGTTGCTCTGTGTAGTTTGACCTGGGAACAGAAGACTGAAGCAGAAGGAAACAGAAAGATATTTTCTGGATATTTCAATCCAAGACTGAAAGAAAAATTCAAAAGAGATGAACTCCAAATATTTTGCAAATACAAAAAATGCAGTAATCCTGTGATGAGAGTTCAATATTAGTGTAAATCAAATAACAATAGCAATAGCACTTAGACTTATATACCACTTCATAGTGCTTTTACAGCCCACTCTAAGCGGTTTACAGAGCCCCCAATAATCTGGGTCAATCTGTGAAAGAACTTCACCATCCCAAAACATACTATGCTTTCTTATGAGGAAAGCAAAGGTTATATAAAACAGTAACATAAATCAAAAAGAAGAAAAAGCAGCTGGAGTCCAACAGGAGTTTAAAATAAATCAGCATTCAAACATTTAGTCAACTTTTAAAAGCAAAAAGCAAAGTAAAATAATACATTCAAAAAGTGAAAGTTAATACCAGGAGTGAAATGCTCCTGGTTCAGACCGGATCGCCTGATCCAGTAGTGATGGCAGCGGATGGTTCAGAGAACCGGTAGCAAAAATCCCTGCACGCCCCCCCACATGCCCAGCTGAGCCGCACGATCATCAGAGGCTTTTTACTTTTAAAAGCATTTTTTCTACAACCTCTTCAGCCGAAAAAATGCTTTTAAAAGTAAACCCCCCCCACTAAGCCACGCCCACAGAACTGGTAGTAACAAATTTTAGATTTCACCCCAAGTTCGTTTAGAAAATAAGTTGCTGAAAGGAAGATGGATTTGCCCAATGCCTTTCCAACCCCTCCCACAGGGAACTGGAATCTTCAAGAATCCCCTTCCCAGATGAGTCCATGGGTGTCCAAAAGTCATCTTGGGTCATTCCTAAGTGCTTCCATTCAAATCCAGGGAGCAGCACTGCCAGAGAACCAGCTGAATCAACAGATTGTCAGCAAGAGAGAAGAAAGTCTCTTACCACACACCAGCCATTTTGGGAGGAGTCCTGCTGCCTCTGTAGTTTGACCAGGAGAGATACAATATCCAGTTTGGTCGTGATGTGCTCTGTTAGTACAGAACATGTCCCGAAGCATACCCTTGTGGAGGTAGTTTACACTTCATACCCTACAGGCCATGCCAGAAGTAAGGCAAAGCTCTTTGGGGAATGGCAGAGAGCTCTCAGTGCGTTTGTGGTGCATCAGAATAAACAATAGCAGCTATAGTTCAAGAATGTCTCCTCAGGAAATGTCAAGGTACCTGGGATGATCTCATCGCAGCCACGTCAGAAGTAGTTAGATGGTTAGCTTCCTTAGATATCAAATTATAACATCTATCCTATTGCAACTATGGTACCATATTATAGCAATTTTATCAGGGTTTTACCCTAATTTAATAATTTATCTCATATTGTCCACATACTTTATATACACATAATTCTTGATGCCTTATTTAAACTTATATTTGTGTTTGTACTTACAATGTGTTTATCAGTGTTGTATGTAAGTGATTGCATGGCCTCTGTAGATGTCATATGCTAAATAAATTAATAACCACTGATTTGCTGGCTTCCAAAGGGAATGAATTACATTTATGGTGAATGGATCCATCAAAGACAAAAGTTATAATGACCATGGGTATCTTTCAGGCAGGATCTACATCAGGGGTGTCAAACTTGATTTCATTGAGGGCCACATCAGGGTTGTGTTTGACCTCGGGGTGTGTGGCTAGGGTGGGCATGGCCAGCATGACATCACTTGTCAGGGGTGTCTGTGGTGGCCCAAGTGCTTTGCCACGAAAACAGTCTCCTGGGCTCTGTTATCAGCTGCAACGGCCTCCTGCAGCCGTCTGCCAGAGAAAATGCCATTTTCACTGGCAGAGGGCTGCAGAAGGCTGTCATGGCTGAAAATGGAGCCTGGAACAGCCCCACGTGGCCCTCCCGACCTCCGTTTTCGCTGGCAGAGCCACTGCAGGCCAGTCATTTGCTGTTCAGGGCAGTCCCGCGGGCCAGATCAAAGCATCCCGTGGGCCAGATCTGGCTTTTTTCCTTGAGTTTGACACCCCCGATCTACACCAAAGTTCTTTTCAATTGTGAGACACCACTAACTTTTTTGTTTTTGTGCAAATTAACTCTTAGATCGCTTCTCTCCCAACTGCATAGCTTGTTTAATATTATTAGTTTTAACTATATTAAATTGTTTCAAAGTTTTCATGCCAGCTACAAAAATGCAAGCCTGTATCAACAATTATTGTTGAGTGTTTGGAGGTTTAATTATACACCTTAAACACTACAGCTAGGAATAGAAACCTATCATTTTGCATTGATGTGGCATTACATGAAATAACTGCCACTTATGGATGCAATCTTGAACAAGTGGTATGGTTTTAATAATTCAGTAGGACTTAGTACCAATAAATATGTTTATGAGTTCAGCTATAATTATAAATTCTCCAGGCAGGGCATGCCCTATATATTGCAAAAATGTTTTATAAGAATACTTCCTTGAGTTTTATAGTTTGCAGTTTGTTATTTTGCTTCTTACAAACCAGAAGTTGGTAACTCTTATTTTTAGTATTCTTATAGCATCCTGGAAGAGTTCACAATGTGCAAGAGTTCACAATATTTCATGTGCAGCTTATTGAGTATGTCCTTATTAGAAAACTGGTGAAAAGGGTATTCAAGATGATAACTTACTTAAAGACATATTTAACCAGAGTTTTAAAGTAAATATTTTCTATTCAATACAAATAGTTATGACTAGACTGGTTATCAAATCATAACACTTTTAATTCCTGTTATGCTTTAATTTGTATGTCTTCACTTATATGTATTCTTACTGATTATTTCATTTGCAGATCAACAAATCCAAGTTCTGCACCAAAGGAATTTGATGCATGAACATGAAATCACAGAAAAACAAAGCAAAACATTCACTGAAAACATGAATTTGGTAAAAGGCAGGTAGTCATTGTGGTGGGCATTTGTGATCTTTTTGTGCAAAAGGCCATGTATTCTCAGTAACACTACAATTGTGTTTGCACTCTGGGACACCTTAATCTAAAACCCAGTTATCTGGAAATCTATCCCTCTCATATGTTTTCCGTGCAAAATACCCAAGAATCACAATATCAATAATGTCACATGAATTATATTTGTAAACTGCATGATTAGTTCAGAGAATTTTTAACATATACAACTATATTTTTTCAGGATCCTCTGTAAAAGAGAAGGCAAGTCCTAGTAGCCTAACAGCAAAAGAAAGACTGTTCCCCAATAGCAATTCAGTGCTGATGGGTAACAAGGTTTACAAGATTTCCCCAAATATTCTTATGGATACACCAGTGAGACATAATAAAGTGAAGGGTGGAGGATCTGAAGAGAATGGCAAAGAAGGGGCTTTGCTTCCTGACTTGAAACAGGACAAAACTGCTGGTAATAATGGTGGCAGATCATTAAGAACAACTAACATTACTGTAAGATTTCATTCTCCCGACAATTCAAGTGAAACTCAGATTGACATTTACAATTTAAAAGATTCAAGAGAGGTCCCTGAAGTTCATATTGTAGCCAACAACATTATTAACCAAGGCCTTAAAATGGATTCAGTAACATTAAAAGACAATGGTATGCAAGTGATAGTAAATAGTTCAGTGGATAAGAAAATGAAGCATATTAAAGGGAGAAGAAAAACTCCAATAAAACTTGATGGTGGAATTACAGGAGAGAGCACACCCAAGAGCAGTAAGACAAATCATCCTGCAACAGGTAAAGACTTTTTTTAAAAAAAATTTGGATTCACCTTGAAGTGATTATAGAGTTGCACTATTATAATTGTTGCTATGGTATTTTGGGAATGAAATTGAGCTGAATGCAATTATACATTTTGTTATATAGCTTCTAATGCGAGTTCTTATTATGATGTTGCTTATGTCATTCCTTTTTACAACAATTTTATGAAGTGTTCCATTATGATGACTCTTATTACTGTGGCATTGAATCTGAAAGGGAATTGTTGAAAGTTTTGCGCTCACCATCTGCTCACTAGGATCCTCAAAACACAACTTAAAAACATAAATGCAACAATATAGTAAAATCAATAAATTTCAAAATGAAAATGAAAAGAGAAATTGGCTCTAACCCTAACCCTTGAAACTAGCCAAAGAACACTTAAATTTCAGCAAAACAACCATTTTCTACTGTTTCCATAAAATGTAGTAAAAACAACTTGTCAGAAAAGAGTCTGGCTTGTGTGGTCAACAGCCTCTTCATAATGAGATGCAAGAAGGATTAAGCATATATTGGTCAAAGCTAGCATTTAAGTTTAACTGGAAATGATTTGTACCTTAGACTAGTTGGGTCAAAATAGTTTTACATATTTTAAAGTGCACAGAGCTGGCCACCATGTTTTAGTTGTTCCTTCTGAACATTCTTTTTTTTTTTTAAATTGATTTATATGCCGCCCTTCTCCGGAGACTCAGGGCGGCTTACAGTGCGCTAAGCCTTCATCCTTTTATATATTTATACAAAGTCAGCTTATTGCCCCCACAAACTGGGTCCTCAATTTACCTACCTTAGAAAGGATGGAAGGCTAGTCAACCTTGAGCCTGGCGAGATTCGAACCTGCAGTAATTGCAGGCAGCTGGTTTTAAGAACAGGGTGCTTTAGACCACTGTACTACCAAGGCTCTGTAAACCACTGTACTAACAAGCTTCTTCAAGAGAAGCCATGTAGCATGATCAATGACATATCAAAGATCACATTCAGATTATGGTGATCTTTCAGAATTTACTTGTAGAACCATCTGTCTCCTATGGTTTCGGCCTGCCCTTCTAGATTTGACAATATGGGTATGCTCCAAATCCCCTGGAGAAGCAGTGTTGCCTGGTGAGCCCTTGGAAGTATGCCTTTTCTGTCATAGTTCATGCCTTATAGAACGGCCTCCCCTCAGAATATGAAGATGGCCTGGTTTTGTTGGCTTACAGGAAAGTGGTGAAGACCAGACTTTTGCCTCAGGCATTGGGGCTGGGATGTTGATAGAAGGTGTTGATGGGGTGGAAAGTAAATGATGCATTTTTATTAGGGCCTTAATGTGGGCTTTTTGTTTTAAATTATTGTTTTATTGTACTATGTTTGAGTGGCACGGTGGCCTAGAGGTGAAGGCACTTGCCTCTTACTGGGAAGATTGAGAGTTTAATCCTAAACAACGACAGATATTTCTCTATTAGGTTGCAAAGAGAAAATATCTGCTGTGAACTCCATGTAGGACTCAGAAAGGGCATCCGGCCAGTAAACACTCAGCTCCATTCAATTGTCCCCTTCCCAGCCCAAAGCAAGAGATTACAGGATTGTAAAAAGGGGAAAAAATGTATTGTGTGTTTATTTTGTTTGCTGCTCAAAGTTTGATAGATGATTGGCTATATACATTAGAGGATGGATGGATGGATGGATGGATGGATGGATGGATGGATGGAGATAGATAGATAGATAGATAGATAGATAGATAGATAGATAGATAGATAGATAGATGATAGATAAAAGATAGATACAAGTTATAAGTTAAAATTAAAACAGCTTTCTCATTCACCCTGTAAATTTGGAAATTGCCAATAAAACATTTTATTATTTTATTTTTATTTATACTTCAAATTTTAACTACTCTGGGCAGTGTACAATATTATCAATAAAGTTAAATGTTAAAATCAGGATAATTTAGAATTAAAAGTTTTAAAATTATAGAAGCAACATTATAAAAATTTCAGAAGGTGAAGAATTCCAAGATGGGGAATTAACAATTGTTAATACAGGTGGTGGTGGGTGTTTTTCATGAAGTCAGCTAGCCCTGTGGTTGTATGGGCCTCTGCAACCCCATGCAAGGTTACGTAACCAAGTTTTGACTGGCCAGAAGATTGTGAGCTTTCCTCACCTCTGAGGGCAAGATGTTCTATAAAGCAGGGGCAATAGCGGAGAAGGCCCTCTTTTTAAACCCCACCAGTCGAAATACTTTGACTGATGGAGTCTGTAGCCCATCTTTCTTGCCTATTCAGTAGAAATCCAGAAATCTCTACTTTAAATTCTTTTTAGATGTGAGTTTACCAAATAGCCTGATTAGGTATTCTGAATAGAATAATAGAGTTGGAAGGGACTTTGGAGGTCTTCTAGTCCAACTTCCTGCTCAAGCATGCGGTCCGGACAAATGGCTATCTAATCTCTTCTTAAAAACATCCAGTGATGGAGCACCCACAACTTTTGAATGCAGGACGCTTCACTTATTAATTGTTCTCAAGAAATTTCTCCTTTTCTTTCTCCTTATTTCTAGGTTAGTTCTCTCCTTGATTATTTTCCATCCATTGCTTCTTGTTGTGCCTTCAGGTGTTTTGGAGAATAGGTTGATCCCCTTCTTTTTTGTGGCAGCTCCTTAGATATTGGGAAACTGCTATCATGTCACCCAAGTCCTCCTTTTCATTAAACTAGACATACCCAATTCCTGCAACATTCTTCCTATGTTTTAGCTTCCAATCCCCTGATCATCCTGTTGCTCTTCTCTGCACCCTTTCTAGAGTCTCAACATCTTTTTTATATTGTGGTGACCAAAACTAGATGCAATATTCCAGGTGTGGTTTTACCAAGGCATTATAAAGTGGTTCTAACACTTCATGTGATCTTGATTCTATTCCTCTGTTAATGCAGCCTAGGACTGTGTACTTTTTGGCACCTGCAACACACTGCTGGCTCATATTTAAGTAATATGGAGTCCACCAGGACTCCAAGATCCGTCATACAATTACTGCTATTAAATGCAGTTACTACCAACCTATACCTGTGCAGTTAATTTTCTGGTCTGCTTTAAGAATAGCCCATGATCTTATCGGCTATTGTAAAAGCTATTGTATTGTACTGTAAAACTGTTGAGATCATGAATGTGAAGATTTGTTCACTTGTAAATGATGTTATATAATTATGAGATTATTATATGGCAGATATAACTTGCAAATTTTGTGTCCAAGATATCATTACTTACTGTATGTTCATTCATTTGGATAAATTTGCTTTTTATGCATAGATGCCAAGTGTATGAAACAAATAGAAAATCATTTTTTCTGAAGAAAATGTAATGCAGTTCATTAATTATTACTATATTTTTCATGAAAGTACAGTGCCTTGAACTACATTAACAAGATTTTTAATACAAAGAGTTTATAAGTGGTTTATGTTTGTAGAATGAAGGTTATAGTAAATCTACTTGTCCTACATGTACATGTATTTGATAACATTTTAGGATTCATAAGACTCCTTGTGGTTTGGAAGGATCTAAAGATCCTTTTCATTTTGAACCTAGAACCTAGAAATAGAATATAATACTCTAAATAATGTTATTTCCATTTATGAATGTATCCTGTTAAGGATCCTTTTTTCCTATTTATAAAAGGCATGCAGTCAAATATTTGGTTTTTATTTTCTGCTAAGCTCCAGTGTGGAGAAAAAAGTAGAATTACAGTCTACAGTTTATCTTGTTATGTCAATACAGTAATTCATACATACATTAAGAAATACATTTTAAGAGTTGTATATACAATTCTGAAACCATTAAAAAATAGCAACATAGAAAAAATATTCAAGTCTATTTGCTGAAGATACCAGTCATAAAGATTAGAAAAATATTTGAATGAATATGAGTGTTTGTACTCATTTCTCTACCTCAATATATTTCAGTCACTTTTATATTTATTTAAAAAAAGATGAGCATTTGACATCTGATGGCTGATTTTGACTTGGATATTTCTGTGACAGCTTGGCAAATTTTCAAGTATTAGGCTATGTACAGTATGTCATGGTTATAAATAATAAACAAGTAATAAACAAATAATAAACAAAATCTAGTAAGGCATGGCAAATTTAAAAGGTTTAATTCATTAAAATGTAAATTGTGCTTAATTGAAGGAAATTACAGACACCATCTATGGTTCTTGCCCATACCACATATTCCTACTTTGATGCTCTTTCTCTATCCCATATATCATACATCAGATTTTATTACTTGTTGTAACGGAAAAAAAGATATTTCTTATTAGGCCAGAGCAGTGCTTCTCAAAATTGGCAACTTGCTGACATGGGAATTTTGGGAGTTGAAGTCCACATTTTTTAAAGTTGTCATGATTAAAATTGTCATACGCATACCTATATTTTTTAATGCGCTATTATTTTTTCCATAAAAGCCACATGCAATTAACTGATTAACTTGTCTTTTATTATGTAATGTGCATTTCAGCGAGCAGTTAGTCACCTGCCTAGCTCAATTTACACTATCTTTATCAGATCAAATTATCCTCTGTTACCTATAAGTGCTAGTAAGGAAGCAAATGCAATTTATCTGGGTGCTTATAAATCTTTTCTGTTTGTGTACTATACTATTTATATTTTCTTTGCAGAATTATTTCCTTTTACAGGACTCTCAAAATGCTTTTCTTCATTACTATTCAGTGTAGCTTTTACACAGGTTTATTGGAAATTACTCCAAAATCCATACAATTATAGTATTTTTACAATTTGCAAAAGTATTCTTTTAAAAATAAATCCTTATAAGAGTGAGTCTTAATAGTTTATATTTATGTTTTATTTTAGATGTCCCTGAACTTTTTACTTATCAGATGTTGGTATTAAATCAAATTCTACAATCACTGAGGGGTAAATATGGATTCTATTGAATAAATTGTTAAATAATTTGTGTAATCAGAATTAGTCAGTCTTTATTTTTGCATTTTACAGCTCAAAGTGCACACACAGACAATTCACAAAGCACAATCAATGAACAGACAAAAATCTCTGTAAAAGAACTGGAAAACATATTAAATGAGCAGAACAAAGAGACTGGTACGTCTTTTGCTTTCCTTTGTATAATAAATGAATTCTTAGATCTGAGTTTATTCTATAAGTAAAATCAAATGGTTTCCCAAAGATTTTAAACTAGGATTTCATTTAAATATATATCAGTCATAAATTATATTTTGACAAGCAATTCAGATTAAAGGGCTTGAAGGTTCATGATATGCAGTACATTGAATTTCAGGACTAAAGACAATTAATTAATTAATTAATTAAAACATGTATGAGATAACAGATATAAGTATAAACATGGACATGAACACAGGAAATGAGTACAAATAAATGGGGACAGTAGGACAGAGACAGTAGTCACGCTGGTGCGCTTATGCATGCCCCCTTACAGACCTCTTAGGAATGGTGTGAGGTCCATGGTAGACAATTTAAGATTGAAGCTATGGGGGTTTGAGGATGTAACAATGGAATCAGGTAGAGCATTCCAGGCATTGACCACTCTATTGCTGAAGTCGTATTTTCTGCAATTGAGTTTGGAGCGGTTTATCTTGAGTTTGTATCTATTGTTTGCCCATGTATTATTGCGGTTGAAGCTGAAGTAGTCATTGACAAGTAGGACGTTGTAGCAGATAATTTTGTGTACTATGCTTAGGTCAGACCGTAGGCGGCGTAGTTCAAGGTTGTCCAAGCCCAAAATTTCAAGCCTGGTGGCATAAGGTATTCTATTGTGAGCAGAGGAGTGGAGTACTCTTCTCATGAAATACCTCTGGACTTGCTCAATTGTATTAATGCCCGATGGGTGGACTCCAGACAGACGAGCTGTATTTGAGGATTGGTCTGGCAAAGGTTTTTTGTGCCCTAGTTTGTAGTACAGTGTTACTGGAGAAGAAGCTTCACAAAATTAGGTTAACAACTCTTTATGCCTTTTTGGCAATGCTGTTACAATGAGCTCTGGGGCTTTGATCTTTTGAAATGAGTACTCCTCCGTCCTTGACAGAGTGAGGGTCATCTATGAGGTCATATCCGCTCAGCTTGTATTTGATGTTCTGATTTTTGTTGCCAATGTGTAAGACAGAGCATTTGTTAGTTGAGATTTGGAGTTCCAATTGTTCAACCATTTTGACACATAGTTAAGATCACTTTGTAGGGCAGCAGTATTGTCGGTGGTGTTAAATAGTTTTACATCATCAGCGAAGACAATGCAGCTGCTTATAATATGGTCGGAAAGATCATTTGTGTAAAGCAGAAAGAGTGTGGGTCTTAAAATGCTGCCTTGGGGGACACCGCTATTAACTGGTGCAGGGTTTGATAGAGCGCTCCCTATTTTGACTACTTGTTGCCTGTTTGACAGGAATGCAGCTATCCACTTGTGCAGGGATCCAGAAATGCCGTAAGAGCTTAGTTTTAACAACAGTTTCTCATGTATCACTGAATCAAAGGCTTTGCAGAAATCTATGTAAATTGAGTCTATTGCTTTACCCTGGTCGAGTTGTGTGGTCCGAATGTTTCTGCAGTGTAGGAGTTGCAGATTACAGGACAAAATTTTCCTGAAACCAAACTGCTTGTTAGAGAACAGGTTGTTTGCCTCTAAGTGGAGGATGATGGATTGGTTTATAATCGATTCCATGACTTTATAGGTGATGAACACAGTGAGATTGGTCTGTAATTTTCAACTAGGCTGTGGTCTCCTTTTCTGAAGATAGGAATGACCGTGGCTAATGACCATAGGTCAGGCAAGGAGCTGGTTCTGAAAGATACCTCATAGATTGTGCTTAGAGGTTCGACTATGGCAGTGGAAAGCTTTTTCAGGAAGTAGGCACATAATCCATCAGGGCCAATAGATAGAGATAGCAATAACAATAGCACTTAGACTTATATACTGCTTCACAGTGCTTTCCAGCCCTGTCTAAGCAGTTTACAGAGTCATCTTATTGCCCCCAACAATCTGGGTCCTCATTTTACCCACCTCGGAAGGATGGAAGGCTGAGTCAACCTTGAAAAGATCACTTTAGGTTGCATAGTGCACTTTTGCTGTAAAATCAATATGTAGCAGATCGTTACAATTAGTTGTAGGAAATGTGGGGCAGAAGCCATTGTTGTTGACAAAGACTGAACTGAAAAATGTGTTGAAGAGGTTGGCCTTAATAGCTTCATCATTACAATGATTTTATTTTTATTTATTTGTATTTATCATTTCTGATTTTATTTTGACAAGTTAGTTAGATTGGTGCTATTGAGTTTGGTTCAACTTTTGCTAGGCTCTGTGGACAAATGATCAACATTTCATCCGTCTTTAGCAGTAACAAGTTTCTGTTTGAAAGAACGTCCAGTAATCTCTTTAATTCTGACCCTAACACTAATTTTTTCTATTGTCTTCTCTTTCTTGTATTCTTTCTTCACTTTGCCAAACATTTTTTCTAGCCCGTCATCTGGTCATATCATATGGCCAAAGTATGAGTTTCTGTTTGCCATTCATCACCTCAAGGGAGCAGTCAGCCTTTATTTAGTCAAAGATTGATTGGTTGGTTGTCCCTGCAGTCCATGATACTCTTAGTAATTGTCTCCAAATCCATAAGTCAAAGGCATCCATCTTTCTCTTGTTCTTTCTCAGTAACCAACCTTAAAGGCCATACATTACCACTGAAAAGATCATTGCTTTAACTATTCTGATTGTATTATCACTGAAATATCCTTATCTCCATGATCTTGAATGAATTTGTCATGACATCCTTCTGCAGGACTAATGACCTCATTATTTCTCCAGCACACCGCCCATTCTTGGGCTAAGAAAACAAAGCTGTATGTCGTCTGTATTTCTTTACTCTCAAATGTCAGTTCAGGAAGTATACTTTGGTATTATTATTTGACATTATCTTCAATAGTTATTTTTGTCTTAATATGGATTTCACATTTTCTTTTTTTTTTTATTTTCATAATGAGCTTTGCTATTTTAAACTAACAAGATTGTGTTATCTACACACTGTATAGTATAGCAAATTCTTCCAATCTACAATTTTTATTTCAGGTGATATCTCTTCCAATTATGCTATTCTTATGATATATTTATTATATAAATTAACCTGAAATGCATACTTTTCTCACTCCCTTTTCTATTTTGAATTCCCCTGTCAGAGCTAACCTCACAACTAGATTTAAGACAGATTAATTAAGAGCAAACACCACCTCTATTTTGCTAGAATATAGTTGAAGACCATTCGCATGTTGATATTATCTCAAAATCAATAGACGACCTTCTACAGCAGCTTCATGTAGCTGTTGGAAAACATGGAGGGACTATCTGACCCCTGTGGTATCCCACAGTGGAGCCAAACACAACCTCAGTAACTTCATCATCCCTAAATAAAGGAATTCAGAGCTGACATTGGGGAAGATAGGAAAGACTACTAAGGAAGGAAGAAAGGAGTCATTAAGGAGGGACTTGAAAAAGAGATTACACAATCTGGAGACTGAAGCAAATGTAATAAAAAATGAAAATAACTTTGCCTTGATTTTATTTAAGGAACAAAGAGAAACTGGGACAAACTTTAAATATTCTCTTAACTATATTCTACATCAGGGGTATCAAACTCATGGCCGGCGGACCAGATGTGTCAAGTGCTGGCTTGAAGGGGAAAAAAGCCCTAATACATCACATGAGGACGCCATGATGACGCGAGTTTGACACCCTTGTTCTACATCAATAAACTAGCACTCCTGGAATCTTTGGTGTATGATTTTTTTTGACCTGACCTACTTTGAAGGACTGAGACATGACTGAAATTACCCCTCAGAAACTAGTGGAACCTCGATGGCAGAATTTCAATAAACCTCAATCCTTGTAAGTGCTTCAATAGGCTGCCATAGTCAGTGCTAATTCTACCAAGAGATCTCATACTCCTTCCTTTCAGGTCCAAGCAAAATGGCGGAACAGAGAGATTGACTCTATAGAACCATTCAGACCACTACTGCTCTCAGAGCAAGTGGTATTACTTCCGTCCTCAAGAAGGAAAATAATCTTCTGATGTCCTCTGCCATTTTTTAAAATTTAATTTAATTAAATTTGATTTGATTTGATTTATATGCCGCCCTTCTCCGGAGACTCAGGGCAGCTTACAGTGTGTTAAGCAATAGCCTTCATACTTTTGTATATTTATACAAAGTCAGCTTATTGCCCCCACAAACTGGGTCCTCAATTTACCTACCTTACAAAGGATGGAAGGCTGAGTCAACCTTGAGCCTGGCGGGATTCGATCTTACTTTAATTGCAGACAGCTGGTGTTAAATTACAGAGCTCTGTCTGTTGAGCTATCCAGGCCTATCTCATTTCGTTCTTCAGTTAATGGCCATGTTTTTTGCAAGACCTAAAACAAAGTTTTGCCTGTATGTGGAATAAATAAACTGGCAATGTGCATCTTCTATTGTCCTCTTTTTTATAGGCATGTCCACCAATTTTGCAAATGCCTAGGCTATATTCCATTTAATTCTTCAATTCTCTTACAGCTTTAAAAGAGTTCCTTGTGCCTAATATTTTCATATTTAATAGCTGGTCTACTTGTTTTTCCCTAATTTTTGAGCAGAATCAGTTACTGAATATATTCTCTGCTTACAAATGTTTGTTTGTTTATAATCCCATTTGTAAAGGATTTTAATGTAGTCTTTCCGTCTTTCTTTAATCTTCTTTGCCTCAGCTTTTTTTCATTATTTCTCTTGAGCATTCCTAACTTTGCTATAAATTTTCCTCTGATTTTTCAGTTCTTAATAAGAACTCTCATTTTACTTTTTTGTGATAATTTTCTCTATTTGCTGACGTTGAGTGAAATGTATTTGTTTGTCCTTTCTTGCTTGACATTGAAAGACTGTGTTTTTAATTATGCTATGCCGTTTTCATTGCCCAGGGCTTTCATCTTCTGCCTTTCCCTGGCTATCATGATAGCTTTTTCTGAAAGTCACTTGGATCTATTCCTTTTTAACATTCTGAGAATATATTTTTCTGCTTTGGTATTCAGGATATTGATATATCTTTCTTTTTTCTTTTACCTCCTCCATAGCTTTCTTTACAAAGTAAGCTTACTAAATCTATTACTTGCTTTGTCCTTACATTCCAAATGTCTTATCCAGGTAGTATCTTGCTGACACACTTATGTGTAAAATAATTCTTATTTTACAATCTGAACTTCAAAGTGTCCTGGCTAATTATATTGCGTTCTCTGTTTTGTGTTCCCTATTTTATAGGCTTCCTAATTTAGATGTAGCACATCCTGTTATGTCCAACTGTAAAATTTGTACTTGTTTCTGCTGTGTATATTTTTTGAGTAAACCTGCTTAGGGTTGTACTGCTAAATTCTTATATATTAAGATACATTTTAAGATTAAAATATTTGTCTAGGATATTTTTAGAATGTTTGAGTAGTATCTGGTGTACGTCTATGTAGAAAGTAATATTTTAAAATTATTCTTATAGGACAGTTGATGGCAATTGATGTTTATTTAACTAATATTGTCATTCTTACTGAGCTTAATCAAAGTAAAAATGAATGTTAATTTAACCTTTGATGTTTTGAAAATCGAAGACCAGGAGCCTTTGTTATCTAGTGACAAAATGCAATCATCAGTAATGAAAAATATTCTTCAGGAATTAAAGAAATATACAGGTAAATCTTATTGCACAACCTAATATTATAGATAATGGTATGTTCTTTCTTACTATATGTAACATATTAGATATCAAGGGTTGTCCAAATGATGAAGGGTAAGTCTACAAAGCAATATTTGTTTTGATGGTGGAGAGATGCTAAGATTATTATTACTTGTATATTTCTAAATAAACTATGGAAAGTCAATTAATATTTAATAGTACTTTTTTAGCTTGTCATTTTATTTTAAGCAAGTAAGTAAACACTTGGATACTGAGCTAATGTAATTGAACTGTTTTCTCTCCTGTTCACTGTGCCATGGTTTGTAGTTGTTACTTGAAGCCTGGCTTATCTAGTTAGAGCTATTGTCTGCTTAATACAGTTGTTCTCTGCTTCCATCAGTTCAACTTGGAATTAATTTTTTTTTTCATTTGAGGTAGGGCATTGCGTCTATAATTCGCTCTGTTCATTTCAGAATTCTTTTCAAAATCTGCCTCTGATATGCAGTTTAGGAGCTCTGCCAAGCTGCAAGGCTCAAGGCATCACCACAGCAACTGCAGTGCTTGTTTGTGTAAAATGCCTTGATGAGGTGTGGAAGAAAGGAGGGGGGGGGATAGAAATCAGTGAACAAATCAGAGTTACCTTTGCAATCAGACCACACATATCACCCCATTTGTAGCTTTTCGGATAGGTAGTGAGATCATGGGAAGAGAAAGAGATTTTTACTCTTGCTTGTATTTTCCCTCCTTCCCATTATTATCCAGACTAATTTTGTGTAGTGACACTGACACTTTTGTGTGCAAAAGGTGATTTTTTCCCCCCATCATTTTCAATTTCATAATAACTTCATTCCCCTATACTTAGTTTGCTTATCCAACTTCCCTTTTTCATTTCCCAAACATTCTTTCTCATTTCCATAACAGTAAATACGGTACTTCCTAAGCTTTCAATTGTATTCAGTTACTTTGCATTTAGACCCCCTTTCTAATTAATGTTTCTGTCCTACAGTTATAATTGTTCAGTATAATTAATACAGTTAATAACTGTATATTATTTTGTTCGTTCTTCTTGTCTTTTGCCTTTACAAGCAGTATTTTCCACCATCCTACTTTGTCAACTAATAGGTAACTTATATGGTATATAAATTAAATTTAAATTAGACAGTGTTATCTGAGATTCGGGATGGATAGTTTGGGAGCAGATGTCAATCACATTACGTTGCCATTATATATATATTTATATTGCTGTTTATTTAGCATTGTGAAATATTTTAATCCTAAACTGTCACTATTGCAAAATCAGTAGTCATATAAATTGATTAAAATAAATGAGTAATGCTCATTAAAATTTATTGAGAGCATTGGGAAATGGAAAAGTGTTGAAAGTAAAAAGTTGATTAGAGCAAAATAAAGTGTACTGGAAACAGCCAGCACTGATTTCTAATAAATGTACTTCATGCACTTATAAATTTTCCATATATTTTATCCCATTCCAACAAAGAGCCAAGCACTGCAGGCACTTTAATAACCCATTTTAAAGAAGAGGGATTCAAGATCAACTTCACCAATGTCTATGAAATGTGAACAATTTATGCCCTTGTGATTGACTAGCTATTTGTTTTGAAACACTTTATATCATTCTGATGGAAAGCAAAATAAACATTATTAGGCACCTGTGTTTTCCATGTTGGATAATGGAAAAGAGAACTGAATCACATTCCAGAATGGAACAGCTACTCTCCTGAGCCTGACCTTAAGACAAGCAGGTTGGCCTACCCACTCTAGACTAAAGTTACTGTTCCAAGGCTCCCAGGCCAACTTCTCCCTTGCAAGCCATCTTAACTGTAAATCATGGATTTCCCATGGAGTTTCTGGTGTTCTCTGAGCTTGGTTGTTTGGTTACTCTTACAAAATATTTTATCATATCTCAAAAGAAATAAAGCTGAGCACTATCGACTATTTGCTGATGAGAGGGTTATTATCCCAGAGCTATCATTGCATTCAACAATGAACTAAAGGGCCACCATCAGTGAGCTGTTGGACAGCATTACTTGGTCTGTTGTGTAGATGTTTGGGTGGTTTAGGGGTGGGGAATTGTGGTGGGTGGGAGTGTGTTTGGGGATTATTATGTGTGTTAGACCTGGTCTTTGGGTGTTAAGTGAATTTTGTTGTATGGATATACTTGTATACACGTACAATGACAATAAAGTTTTTTATTTATTTTATTTATTTATTTATTAAAGTATTGCTTATTTCTTTCAACGGCTATGCTAAAACAAAATGAGACAGTCAGTTTGGTATAATAATTAAAGCATCAGGCTAGAAACCAGGAAACCATGACTTCTAGTTCCACCTCCAGCATCAAGCCAGCAGAGTAATCTTGGGCCAGTCACTGTTTCTCAGCTCTAGGAAGAAGGCAATTGCAAACCACTTTTGAAAAACCTGCTAAGAAAACTGTAGGGACTTGACCAGGAGTCAATCAACACTGACTTGAACACAACACTGAATTGGTCTAAATCAATCAATCCATCTATCAATCAATTGGTCAATCAATCTATCTATCAATCAATTAATCTTAGTAGCTTTCCAGTGTGGGTGCTTAAATGAATCACAATTTCATCTCTTGTTAATGCTAAAGTTCAGAATACTCCGCCAGCTGTTGAAAGCAAGACACAGATGCTTATGGAACAGTCAAAAGAATCTCAAGGTCCAGGTAAACTCATTTTACAGTGCTGCTGAACAGATTTCTAATAATGCTCAGTAGTTAAATGTCATGTTATTCTCATAAAATGATTAGAGTTGGGATTGGTTAATCAAGCCAAAGAAGTGCAAGGGGTGTAAAAAAAAGGAAAGATGTCCATGGTCACATAATTGAACATAATTTGTTACACACACAAAACACATAAAAAGGGGCAGGGCTTAGATTGTACAATGGCAGCTGCCATCTTTTTGGATCCACCACGATGACTTTGCCTCTTTCTGCAACCATCATTTCAATGGGAGTTGTGGGAAGTTTTGAAATATGCTATACACAGCTGAATATATTGCATCTGCTGCACTCATATGAACTTCATTAGTTCATAGTAAATTTACATTTTTATCTGAAGCATCTCAAGATTCCCCTTTTTAAATAAACATTGCATGCATGGCCCAAAGAGACAGAGTTTGCAATGCAATGCCACAACACTAACTCTTGTCATTTAATAAAAGTAGTGAGAACCTGAGGCCATCGTTGCCAAGGGTTATCTTTATGAGCACATGCAGGAAACCTGGGAAAGCCTTCAAAGTAGCATGGCCATGCCATGAAATGTCTATCCCAAATGTCTACATTGATATGTTTGTAGTCCCGGGCTAAGACATTGCTTTTGTCCCATGTTTCAAATAATTTCACTCTAGGAACTCCACAACCAAATAGTTGGCAGAAGCACTATAAAGAACTGAATGTGAGAGCTGAAAAACACGCCCTCTAAATCTTTTGTCATGGAGGAATATCTGAATGTTGCACACAAAAAAGAAAAGCAAAATTTCTTTACTTAACTTGCCTAGAAAAATCCATTTCGTTGGCAAAAGCTACACGAATGTGCAGATTCTGATTTTTCTTGTTCCGTTAAATCCAATGAAAAAGGATCTCTTGGGGTCTTTTCCTTGATATATGTAGATTAGATTTTACAAAATAGCAAATTAGCATTATTTTATAAACATAATTGTTTAGAGATAATTCTACACTTCCCACTAATAACTATTGTATTATTTAGAATTCTCTTTTTTGGGACAATGCTTATAGAATCTTCTACTGTCAATGTTTTGTCCCCTTGAATTAAAGAGAGACAATCGAGTGATAAGGAAAAGGCACTGATGGAATCTTCCTCAGAAGAAGGTCTTATTCTACCTGCTTCCAGTGAAACATCATTGATTTTCTCGCTTAAATCAACTCTTCCTCAAAGTAAAATCATTATCTCATGTTCTATGCCATTTTGTCTGAGGTAACATCTGCCCAAATTGATCTTTTTAACTTCATCTGTTCCTATTAAGAATGATTGAATCAAATTAGTCATTAAGAGCAAGGTTTTTCTACCCAAATCCACATTTGAAATTAATGATAAAGATTCCAAAAATGAAGTACCTGAAATGAAAGAGCTTATTTAGGTTATAAATAAGAGATTATTTATTAGAATATGCTATTGTTCTACAAGCCTTAGAAGATGGATTGGGGTAAATCATTTGTCAGAAATAGCCTACTTTAAATCGGAGAAATCAGAAATATAGAAAAGCAGCAACTGGGAAGTAAGGTGGAATGATGAACTGCTAGGTCGCAATTAATGCCAGTTGAAATAACATATTAAATTTAGTGTAAAATTGTAAATTGATACCAAATCATGTTTAATGCAAACTAAAATTCAGTTTATGTGAGGCAAGTAAGTGTGCAGTTGCCATTGGGGTTTTAGACACCACCAATCTTTGTGTGTGCAGAATGGAGAAAAGGAAGATCTCTTCAGAGGAAAGCACTACAAGCTCAAAAAAGAAGAGGCTCGTTATTACATTAGAGCAAAAATTTGATGTAATTGAGCAATATGAATGTGATCATAGCAACGTTAAAATAGAATGAGATATTAGAGTGCCTCAGTGTAGAGCATGCAATATTATAAAGCACACATGGAAAATAAAAGGAAAAGATAAGGTTGCATCAAATTTTTGTCATGGCAAACAGTAGTGCTTAAATTTGTATACTCTTTTGCATTTTCAAAATTTCTGCAAATATATGACCTAAAACATGATCTGTTCTGTACACAGTCATAAAACTTAATGAGAACCCAATTGAACAAATGAATAAAATATTATACTTCTTCCCTGATTTATTGAGGACAATTATCCAAAGTTATACCGTAACTTGGCAAAAGTTGCAAAGTGGCAAAAGTGTGACCTTTGCTTTCAAAAACTGACATGCCCCTTTTGGTAGCAATAACTGGAATTAAATGTTTCCAATAACTGTTGAGCAGTTCTGCACATATGGATTTAGAGGAATTTCAGCCCATTCATCCTAATAGAACAACTTGGATTTGGGGGGCTTCCTCATATGCACTGCCTGCTTCAGGTCCTTTCACATTTCTCTAGGATTAAGGTCAGGACTTTGACTTGGCCATTCCAAAACATTAGCTTTCTTCTGCTTTAACAATTCTTTGATAATACAACTCATGCTTTGGATCATTGTTTTCCTACATGATGCGCTGTCTTGAGCTTTTTGTTCATGGATAGATACTCTGATATTTCCCTGTAGTATTTGCTGTATAATTCATAATTTATAATCAATCACAAGCCATCATAGTACAAATGCAACAAAGTAAGCCCAAACCATGATACTGCCACCATTGCCATGTTTCACAGATGGGTAAATTTGTTATGCTGGAATGTAGTGTTTGCCTTTCACCAAACATAGCACGTTTCACTAAAGCCAAAAAGTTCTATTTTGGTCTCATCTGTCCACAGAACATTCTCCCAAAAGCCTTCTGGCTTATCCAAGTGATCTTCACAAACTATAGATGCAATTTCTTTTTGGAGTGTATTGGCTTTTTTCGTGCGCTCCTATCATGTACACCACTGTGGTTCATTGTTCTTTTGACGTTGATCTCAGGAATATTAATATTCAGCAATGCAAGACAGGCCTTTAGTTCTTTAGGCATTATCCTGGAATTCTTTGAGACCTCCTGGCACTTTGTCTGCGTCATTCTTGGTATGATCTTGATTGGACAACCAGCCTGGGGAGGTAACTGGTATTGAAATATCTCAACTTGTATAGTCTGCCTGGCAGTGTACTGGTAGAATCAAAACTCTTTGTAGATAGTTTTGTAACCTTTTCTAGCTTGGTGAGCATTAACAAGTTCTTCAGTGGTGCTCAGAAATTTCCTTTGTTTGAGCCATGACACATTTTAATACCTGTGTGTTAAGATCAGACTTAATAGTGAGATTCCAAAATTCTATTCTTGAAACAAGGCAGGATCCCCCACACTGACACCTGGGCATCATCCCATTGATTGAAACATCTCACTCTAATTTCTCTTTCAAATGAACTGAAAACCCTAGAAATTCACATATTTTTGCCACCCTTAAACATATAGCTTGGATAATATTGCTTAATTTTAATTTGTGGCAAAGGTTGTTGAGAGTGTGGTGGCGCGACAGTTTCCCCAGTACCTGGATGAAGCGGTCTATCTTGATCCGTTCCAGTCGGGTTTCAGACCTAGGTACAGCATGGAAACGACATTGGTCGCATTGGTTGATGATCTCTGGAGGGCTCGGGACAGGGGTTGTTCCTCAGTCCTGGTCCTATTAGATCTCTCAATGGCTTTTGATACCATCGGCCATGGTATCATGCTGTGCAGGTTGGAGGGGTTAGGGGTGGGGGGCACTGTGTTGCGGTTGTTCTCCTCCTTTCTCTCTGACCGGTCGCAGTTTGTGTTGACAGGGGGCCAGAGGTTGACATTGAGGCACCTTGTGTGTGGGGTGCCACAAGGGTCGGTCCCCTCGCCCCTTCTGTTCAACATTTATGTGAAGCCGCTGGGTGAGATCATCCGTGGTTTCAGGGTGAAGTTCCACCAGTACGCTGATGACACTCAGCTGTACATTTCCACCCGCCGACCACCCCAATGATGCCCTTGACGTGATGTCCCAGTGTCTGGAGGCCGTGCGGATCTGGATGGGGAGAAACAGGCTCAAGCTCAACCCTTCCAAGACCGAGTGGCTGTGGCTCCCGGCGTCCCAATATAGTCAGCTGGTGCCATCTCTGACTATTGGGGGCGAGTCGTTGGCTCCCACGGAGAGGGCTCGCAACTTGGGTGTCCTCCTGGATGCACAGCTGTCCTTAGAAGAACATGTGACGGCCGTGGCCAGGGGGGCTTTCTATCAGGTTCACCTGATTCACCAGTTGCATCCCTTTCTGGATCGGGACTCCTTGTGCACGGTCACTCATGCCCTCATCACTTCCCGCCTGGACTACTGTAATGCTCTCTACATGCGGTTCCCCTTGAAGAGTACCCGGAGGCTCCAACTGGTCCAGAATGCGGCCGCGCGGGTGATTGTAGGAGCGTCATGGCGCTCCCATGTAACACCTCTCCTGCGCGAGCTGCACTGGCTCCCGGTGGTCCTCCGGGTGCGATTCAAGGTGTTGGTGACCACCTTTAGAGCGCTCCATGGCTTAGGACCTGGGTATCTACGAGACCGCCTTCTGCCACCGAGAGCCTCCCACCAGCCAATACGCTCCCATAGAGAGGGGCTCCTCAGGGTGCCGTCGGTCAAACAATGTCGACTGGCAGCCCCCAGGGGGAGAGCTTTCTCTGTGGGAGCACCTGCCCTCTGGAACGAGCTCCCCCCAGAGATACGGAGGATTCTGGATTTACGTACTTTCCGACAGACCCTCAAGACTTTTTTATTTCAACAAGCCGGGCTGGCCTAACTTCTCCAATTGCTTAATTTGAATTTGAATTTTAAAAGGGGTATTTTAATTGCTGGGCCAAAATTGTTTAATATGTTTTTTAAACTGTTCTTAAATTTTTGTATTCTGTGTGTTTACCTTTGGCTGTTCACCACCGAGTCCTTCGGGAGAAGGGCGGTATATAAATTTAAATAAATAAATAAATAAATAATATTTCTCAATAAATCAGTAAACAACTATAATGTTTTTGACTTATTTATTTAATTGGTGTTTTTAATTGTAGTTTTAGGACTTTGTGAAGAACATATCCTGTTTTAGGCCAAGTCAATGTAGAAATATTGAACATTCACAAACTTTTAAGCACCACTGTACAAGGAAGAGATATGTTACAATGATAGAAACAGAGCGTCTCTAATTATGTATTGAAGATTGCAATCAAAAATGGATTTCCCTTAGCAGAGTGGCTATTCAGACGAAAGCTTTAAGTCTGTTTAAGAGAATGAAAGAAAACTAATAATGAAAATTTAATGGAAGTGTTGGATGCTTTGATCTATTTAAAAATCGAATCCAACTGCATAATACTAAAATTACCAGTGAAGTAACCAGTGGAAATCAATCTAAATCCTGATTTTTTAAAAAAATAACCTAAATGGTTGATATGCTGACCATACATATTTAACAGGAATGAAACTGGTATATTCTGGAAAAGGATGCTTTCCTAAACTTACATTTCTACATTTTCCATAGAAATATCACTTTGAATGCAAATTCAAATAATGCAATTGTTTTGTGGAATTCATTATCTGTACTAATTGAGACCTAGCTGTACTATCAGATGCCTTCTTAGCTGTCAGATCAATCTAGCATTGCAGTTCCATAACTAACCCTTGAGGCCACCAGGTTTCTTATCTTCCTGATTTCTAAATATGTTTCTTTTAACGAAAAATAGAAGCTAGCATCCGATAAACAGATCTACTGTTGCTTTGTTGATGAATTATGGAAGTTTAAAGTGTAGGATAAATGTTTAAAACAATAGGAATATACTGTATTTTTCGGAGTATAAGACACACCTTTTTCCCCCCTAAAAGGGGGTGAAAATTTAGGTGCGTCTTATACACCTAATGTAGCCCCGGCCACCCACTGGCCCCCACCCTTTGGCCTCTGCCTTGCAGCAGTTACCTCCTTGCAAGCAAACAGCAAGAAAAAACAGCTCCTTTCAGCTTCAGCACAGCCTAATTAGCACAAGTTGATTGGATCGGCCTCCCAACTCTCAGCTGATTTGCTCTCAGCTGTTTTGCTCTGCTGCTTGCTGCAAAGAGGTAAATTGCTGGAGCAGATAATTTTTTTCCTAGTGCTAATCAAGCTATGATGAAAATGAAAATGAAAGTAAAGCTGGCTGTTTGCTGCAACCAGGCAAAATTGCTCAGAGGCAGAGGCAGGAGATTTCTTTTTCTTCTTTTCCTCACCCAAAAAGGTAGGTGCGTCTTATACTCCGGTGCGTCTTATATTCTGAAAAATACGGTAATTAAAAACAACTTAAAAATTTGGCACGTATCTTTCTAGCATATCTTTCTGTACTTCAAGTAGAAAAACATTGTTTTTGGCAATTATTTAGTTGACAAGCCATGATATTTCAAGATACTAAGATCTTTTCTGTGTAGGATTCTATGTCTTGCTTGTCAATATTAAATGGCTTCAGTCCAGTGTAAGTGCAACTTGAATTATATTGTGGAAGATTCCCTACTTGCAATTAATGTGTTCTGATGAGGACAAAATTAGTTCTCTCTGCACTTGCTCTATCAAAAGTTGAATTCATTGGTTAAAATAGATTAGGAAACCTAGGATGCATGTTTTATTAACCTACTTATGAGACTATTGGTCAGGTAGTCCTCAACTTACGACAGTTCATTTAGTGACTGTTCGAAGTTACTAGGCACTGAAAAAAGTGATTTATGACTGTTTTTCACACTTGAGACCATTGCAGCATCTCTATGGTCACACAATCAAAATTCAGACGCTTGACAGCTGATTCATATTTATGATAGTTGCAGTGTCCCAGGGTCATGTGACCACCTTTTATAACCTGACAAGCAAAGTCAATGGGGAAGCCAGATTCACTTAACAACCATGTTAATAAGTTAACAACTGCAGTGATTCACTTAATAACTCTGGCAAGAAAGGTCATAAAATTCTCAATTAGCAACAAAAATTTTGAGCTCAATTGTAGTCGTAAGTCGAGGATTATCTGTATAATGAATATTCATGGACAGAACTGTTTGAGTATGCAAGCAACTTGATGAATTGGAAAGATAAAAGAATCCCATCTCTTTGACTCTATTTTTATCTCTTCTTAATCCCCTTGCCCACTCAGAGCATGAAAATGACAATTCTTTAAAAAAGCGAAATGATAGCTGTTAAGAAACCCTATACAACATATATATAAGATATGTTATATATCAAGGGATCTAATAAGTAATAAAGAACACTCAACAAACCCCAAATTAGCATATTTGTTTTAAAGGGCTCTTCGAAATAAAAAAAATATTTTTACTTGTCACCTGAAAACCAACAGCACAAAATACTGTTAAATCTATTTTTTGGTTTTTAGGTATAAGAACTGAAGTGACAAATGAAGATGTGAATGATGCCAGAAGATTTGAATTTTTTGAGAAGTATGAAGGTAAATAAAATAAGCTTTTAGATAAGGTAAGCTTATACCAAGTTAAAATGAATGATGTTCCCTGTGCATCTTCTGTGTTCTGCTGTTTGGTGAAAAAAAACAAGTATTACCTAATATATCAGGGCTATAATTTCAGCTCTGTTGTCCTGTGTTCATTGACATAGCAAACTGCAGCTATCTCCATTCTATTTTTAAACACTTGATTTATGCTTTTCTGTTGGGTTTGTTCTGCTAAAACCTATTTTGTGTGTGTTCAGCTGAAAAGAAACAAACATTTTTTCTATGGCTGTGGCAATTTGTTTGTCTAGACCTCAATTACAAAATTAACAAGGCAGGGTTTGTTGCTGTTGTTTTTGTTGGGTTCCTTAAGCCAAAGTTTAAACCTCTAATAAAGCATGACATGCAAAGCTCCCGATAACAATATGCTATAGATAACAACATAAAGGTACATTCTTTACTTTTTAATTTTGTAAACCCATGACGGGGTGTAGTTTCAGAATTTATTGTATAAGACAAAAACATATCATATGAAGATTTTTATTTTTCAAATCATTATCCATTAGCAGCACTTGATGTGATAAATAAAACAGTGGATAAGTAGAGCAATGAATTGCTCTATGAGACACTAATGTATAGTAAGTCCAGGAATTTTGTTCACAGCCCAGTAAAGCCTAAAATAAATGGCAAAAATGGCTTAGTCCTAACAGAAATATTTCATCTATATAGTCAGCCTCTAGTGAAAACAGATTTTTAATAGCATTAGTATTTTTGTCATGAGATAAAAGCTACAACCCCCAGTATAAATGCTGGTTTTTGGATGCCAGAGCAATGTGGCTTTACCATTCAAAGGCTTAAGGGCTGGCAAGCTTTGGGGCATTACTCCTGCATGCCAGATTTAGTGAATATATGCCCAGCTTTTGTGTGTGCTGGTTTCTCTGGGCTTCTGCTGCTTGGAACTGAAGCCAAATACTCATGGAGTACTGTATCCAAATTCTAGATGAAGCCTGCATCCCTTGGCATTTCAGCCGCCAAGTTTGGAATACAGGGAATCAAGCATACAGCTTTAAGAATAGCAGGATATCTCCTAACTACCTTTTCCTAAATACTTAATACAACTGATTTCTGGGGGAGAATTGTCATTTTTAACCTCTATTTAGAGGAAAAAAATGAATACAGTTAAAATGGATTTTTGGGGTTGGAGGGAAAGCTCTTTTTCTATATAGGGACTGCAACTTTACTTCCGGAGGAAGAAGAGGAATATAGATCAAGAACGGGAGAAAATCTGTTCGGGGATAAAGGGGAGAGATATTGATGAAAGAGCAAAGTGAAAAGATATTGTAAACCACATGTAAGCCAGCAGTTTTGCATCACCCAGGGGCATTGCTAAAGTAAAAATCACAAATTAATTGTAAAAAGCTTCTTAAATTTAAAGTTAAAATGTTTTCCCTCCATCTTGAGCTGTAGCAAACTTTTACTATGAAGAAAAAAATATTGTTTGGATGGATGGTGAAAAGCAAATAAGACATGCACCTGTAATGTTGCCAATGAAAGTGCTCTTAACATCAGTCATATAATACATTATTATTATTATTATTATTCTAACTCATTTTTAGAAAGCTGAAAACAACAGATTTAGATTCACAAATGAGCACTGCTAGCTACCTGCATGCTTTCAGGCAGTAAATACGATATTTTACATTAACTGAATACAAAAATCATGCAACCTGTTTATATTCTGTATAACTTCTGAACTCAAACTTTCTCCATTTGCTAATTGTATTTGAAGAATGTAATACAATCCTGAGAAGTGACAGTTAACAAGAAATTTAAATTTTTTAGATACTTGCAACATTAAATGAGAAAAGCAGGACTATAACCAATGGAAGATATTTAAAGCTTTTTTTCCCATTTCAATAGAAATCAAGTGTAAATTTAAGCATAAAGGAAGTCAGCTTAAAAATGTTGAATTTGTAAGAATCCAAAATTCAATAATCTCTTGATCCTTGTTTATGTACAATTAGTTTTCAATATCCAAATATTTAATTGTGTACTGTCAAATGAAACGTAGGAGTTACTTCTTATAATGAATTGTGCATGGTAAATGTGTTAAAATGGTAAATTGTGCATGGTAAATTTATTATAATAAATTGTACAAGGTAAAATGGACAGTTGTTTATAGGACGCCCTTCTGAACTCTTTCTCAGAATACCATAATTGTTCAACCTTATTGGCACTGCAGTGATTACATTACAATTCATTATGCATGCTGGCTTAAACTTTGGCTCAAACTTTGGAATAAGCTTCTGAGCTTCCTAATGCTCACATGACAACTGAGATGAGCATCAGAATTCTGATTCTCTTCCCTTCCCCTACTCTTTTCAAACTGTAAAAGACTTTGCAGCTAAAGAATTAATCTTAGAAAAGTTCAGTAAAACCAGTCCTATAGAAGACAGCATTAAGTCTTTCCAAAGGACATGGGGGGGGATTTTTGGCATTAGATTGTAAAAAAAGCCTCTCTTTACAGCATTTCTCAGGTAAGGCTACAAAATTAATTATGGTATTTTGCTGAGGAACTATTGATTTAATTTAGTAATGAAGCTGTTATTGCTGTGGAGATAACTACCGTGTTTTCCCAAAAATTAGATCCTCTCTTAGATTTTTTTGAACCCTGAAATAAGCGCTTGGCCTTATTGCCATGCACTCAAAAGCCCAATTGGGCTTATTATCAGGGGATGTCTTATTTTGGGGGAAACAGGGTAGTAAAGTTTACTTTTGAATTATACGCTACTTTAATGCTACTACTTAAGATCCAAGCTTTTAAAATATTCTTGGAAGCAGAAACATCTGAATGAGTACTGCAGTGACTGATTAGCTGGGCGAGATCTTAAAATAAGCTGCATTCCTCAATCACTGACCACAATTGGGACTGGTAGCTTCACTAAGCAACTTGTGAAACACTACTTGACTATGCACCCAACTTATGACATTATTTCTAGTTGCAGTTGTGAAGCAAATCACTCACAATTGTTAAGCTTAATTTTGTATGATTATGGCTTGTCTTATGACTTCCAACTTCTGTATTGACTTTGCTTGTTGGAAGGCAGCTATTCTGCGGTGGTTCTCCTCCTACCTCTCTGACCGGTCGCAATCTGTGTTGACGGGGGGGCAGCGGTCGACCCCGAGGCACCTTGCTTGTGGGGTGCCACAAGGGTCGGTCCTCTCGCCCCTTCTGTTCAACATTTATGTAAAGCCGCTGGGTGAGATCATCCGTGGCTTTGGGGTGGAGTTCCATCAGTACGCTGATGACACCCAGCTGTACATCTCCACCTCAGGCCACCCCAACGATGCCCTTGAAGTGATGTCCCAGTGTCTGGAGGCCGTGCGGGCCTGGATGGGGAGAAACAGGCTCCGACTCAACCCCTCCAAGACCGAGTGGCTGTGGCTTCCAGCATCCCGATATAGCCAGCTGACGCCATCGCTGGCTATTGGGGGCGAATCACTCGCCCCCACGGAGAGGGCTCGCAACTTGGGCGTCCTCCTGGACGCACGGCTGTCTTTAGAAGATCATTTGACGGCCGTGGCCAGGGGGGCTTTTTATCAGGTTCGCCTGATACGCCAGCTGCGCCCCTTTCTAGATCGGGACTCTCTACGCACAGTCACTCAGGCACTAGTCATTTCCCGCCTGGACTACTGCAACGCTCTCTACATGGGGCTCCCACTGGGGTGCACCCGGAGGCTCCAGCTGGTCCAGAACGCGGCCGCGCGGGGGATTATGGGGGCGACGAGGCGCTCCCATGTGACACCTCTCCTGCGCGAGCTGCACTGGCTCCCAGTGGTCTTCCGGGTGCGCTTCAAGGTGTTGGTGACCACCTTTAAAGCGCTCCATGGCTTAGGGCCGGGGTATTTACAAGACCACCTTCTGCCACCAATAGCCTCCCACCGGCCAGTACGCTCGCACAGAGTGGGCCTCCTCAGGGTGCCGTCCGCCAGACAATGTCGGCTGGCGACCCCCAGGGGGAGAGCCTTCTCTGTGACGGCGCCCACCCTCTGGAACAACCTTCCCCCAGAGTTACGTATAATAACAGACCTCCGGATTTTTCATCGGGCCCTGAAAACCTATTTATTTCAACAAGCTGGGCTGGCCTGAGTTAAATTTTAAATTGATTTTAAATTGGGTTATCTTAATTTCGGCCAAAATATTTAATTATTTTAATACTGTTCTTAAATTTTGTATGCTTTGTTTTTATCTTGGCTGTGCACCGCCCTGAGTCCTATTGGAGAAGGGCGGTATAGAAATTTAATTAATAAATAAATAAATAAATAAATAAAGATCACAAACGTAAGGCTGCAAACTCAAGAACTGATTATAAAAAATTTTCAGCACTGTTGTAACTTGGAACAGTTGCTGAATGAGCAGTCAGTAAGCAAGGATGACCTGTACTATTTTTCATAACTGTATTTAATAACAGCAAAGAACTGATACAATGTAGTACATTGCTTTACATCAGCGGTCCCCAACCTTTCCAGCTTGGTGGAACAGCAGGGCCAGTGGCAGGTGCATGTGTGAGCATGTGAGACTGCATTTGTACAAATGGAGCTTCGCGCCCCAGCACCCACCATTCACACAAATGGAACTTTACACACGTGAGTGCCCATCGCTCAAGCAAGTGGAGCTACACATGCTTGCCCGCCAAATGGGCCATGGCCCAGTATTGGGGCATGGTCCGGAGATTGGGGGCCATTGCTTTACATGAAGTGAATCAAATGGGTGATCTGACTTTAAATGCTTAAAAGTATCAGCAAGTTTTCTACAAAAATGTTTTCATGAATTACAGCACACATATGATGGGTCAGTGTTACATGATGGAAAATATGATCTACTATTCTGTGTCATCTATTATATCCCTTTAGGTATTCAGGATAAAAAAAGAGCAAAGGCTGCAGATCTTAAACAACTACTAAAGCACATCATTGTTGCCTGTGTAGCTGTTTCTGGCTTGATCTTAGCAGTGATAGTCCTTGTGCACATATACAATTCATTGTTTGTGAAGAAGCAGTAAGTTATTGTTTCATTCTCTTCTCCCCTCCTATCACTGTCATTCTGTATCATAAGAACTCCCATCCTAACACCTCCTTACCATTTATATATTTTTAACATAGACATAACATGTTAGGTCAAATTGATGCAGTAGTAGAGACTGCCGATCAAATGCAACTCAGCCATGTAAAACTCAGACATTGAGATTGAATATCCTGTAGGAGGAGGACATCCCAGTTCATCCATGATGCTCCTTTCTAGGGCCTTGAGCCTTGTCTCTTGGCCTAAACTTCATGATGTTAAGCATAAAAAGCTGTCTCGTGAGAAGCGGGAAGTAAATATAAGTATTTTGTATGGGCTTATTAAATGTTTATCTATCCATCATATATTTCTTGCATGTCAAATGCAGTCTTCAGAACACCCTTCTGCCAGCTAGGAATCTTTCATATGCAACAACCCCTCTCCCTTAGGGCTGATAATGAAATGGGGGAATCATAATCATAAGAAAAATGGCAACTTGATTAAAGATTACCTTCCATTCTTGGAAAAGACACGGGGAAAGATAAGTTTCATCATTTGCAATCTATTCAGTAGTGGTCTTTTAGCTGAGGTTGTTCCCAAGTTATTATAAGAATTATTTATAAAAAAAGTTTTGTTTAAAATTATTCCTTTATCATTTTAGGAAGCCAATTATAGCAAATGCTAACACTGACAAGAAGGAAGAATCTGACAAGGAGAAAGAATTTGTCAAAAATAAGGAATCAGACAAACATGAAGAATCAGAAAAAATTGAGGAATCAGAAACAAACAATATGATACCACTGGAGCCAAAAACATCAGCCTACAACACTATTGACATAGAAAATCACAATAACAATAATTGCTCACCACCAGGAATTTTTCTTTCAACAGATGGTGAAGATGTTACAAAGCCTTTAGAGATTCAGCCTGTTTCTTCCCCTAGCTGCCCAGAAAAACCAACAGAATTAATGCCCTATGTTGAATCATTAGAGGAATCACCTAATTATAGTACACACAAGAATTTCAAACTACAATCTAAACCTTTCAAATTGAATAGAACTTCCTATAATAGTCTAGAACAATATAATACACCCAGGAATCAGGATTATGAAACATATCAAGAGAAAGATAGTACTCCTCACAGAAAAAAAACAGACCATTATTTATCCTCCAGGAGTCGTCCAAAATCCACACAACCCAAAAGAGCACACACTGCTCTGTTATCTAAACATCAGTATTACAACAGTTTAAATTGGGTTCATGATCCTTCATCAGATAATTTCATTGCTCCAAATATAAACAAAAACTTTAATGAATCAAAAATGTCCCAGTTTGATGGCACAGAGTATACGTGTTTTCAGCATCAGAAATACGGTTCTGGTACAGATTCATACTCTGACTAGAAAAGCAAGTGAATAGTAAAGAGTTATTTATTCTATGTAACCAATGCCCAGAAGCATTTAGTCCAAATGTTTTTACCAAGAGTAATCATGATGAAACCCTATAGTATGCCGGTCAATCATACTGCAATCATGCTTAGGAATAATAAAAGTAGTTTTATACTTTCGAGTTGTAGGAGTTGCTAATCTAGCTTCTTGGATTTGCCCAATTAAAGCACAAGTTAATTTAATTATAATATTTGCTCACATTCTTTATCTGGCACTTTTCAAATTAGGAAAGTGGGCCTAACTAATGTAACGCACTCTGCAATGACAAATAACTTTTTGTGACATGTAAGCAAAGCAAAACTGCACACATATTGAACATTTTGGATAAATTGAAACACTGTTGAAACAAAAGATGGATATTGATACATCTGATACATGTGAGGTGAAAAAGAATTGGAAATATAGGGAAGAATACAGAGATTTGGGGAGGGGTTGCTTTTTTCTATTTAAAAATTCCTACTATAAATAAAACAAATTCAGAAAAAAATACTTTTTTTCAGAGAATCAAAAATAATGACAAGATACCCTTGGCTCTGTAGCCTATGATACTGAAATTTAGCTCATCTAGGAAATCCATACAGAGGCCTCAATATGAACTCAGTTTAGAGTCAGGCATTCCCATTTTTGAGACATATTATGTATTCTGAAAAGCTATCAGACAAAGTAAAGAAAAGAAAGGCCTATACATTCAAAACTAATTTTATTATATAATTGTTTTTTTTAAGAACAGGCACTTTTCCAGTTAGAAGAAACAGATAAAGTGTTTGAAAGATAATTGTGTTTATTTTCTAAGATTTTATCTGTGAATATAACAAATGGATAATTGAATGACTTGATATATAGTGGCTTCTTTACAAAAGTGTTTCCCTGTAATATTTGGACAGCAATATATAAATATTTACAATGAAAAAATAGGCAAGGAAAGAGAAATAAGTAGTCTTCAATATCCAAATTAATTTTGCATACATCCGATTTGAACACAAAATACTTCATTCACATCTATTTCATATTTACAATTTTAATCACTTGAGAGCACTGAATTCTTTATTTTAGGATATTTGTGCATGTTATGTTTCTAATATGTTTCTGTATAAGCAGTTAAAAATTTTCTGGAAAAATAAATCATTGCTTTGAAAATGCTGAAAATATTAATGTAAGTAATTTATGTGACATATTTTCCCCACTAAAAAAAAATCCAAACAAACAAACACCTTGGATACATATTTTTGACCAGCAGCAAATTTTCATAAAACTGGTTTCCAAGTTCAAATGGAAACCTGGGAACAGTGCTTACTATAAGTGGAAATGATGCCCTAAAGACAAATATAAAATTACAGTGGATGGTTCCTCAGGTGGTCCAAACAAAATATAGTGATTTTTCAGTATCTTAAGAAAACTGAAACAATTTAAATCCACTTAGTTGTAACACTTATTAAATACAGAAAGGAAACTTTTTTGCTTTCTCTACTGGTGTTGCACAACCACATGTCTGAAAACAGGTTGTTTGCAAGAATGACAAACACTACTGCATGCCATTTGGTTTCATACTGTCAACCATCACTGCTACATCCAACAACAGTTACACTTTGAGCGATCCTGGTTATGTTTGCTGCAGGAAAAAAAAATCATATGTGTGAATTACGCCGCCCTCTAGTGCCCAAAGATACCCGAAGCCTCGGTTCTCTGGCTTTATAATGTTCATTGAAATCCAGTCTAAAGCTAAGAAATTGGAGGCTTTCATCAGAACTGGTAGTCAGGAGCACCAAGAACTGCTGTACAATGCCCTGAAAGGAAAAGGAAAAAAGATCAGAAGAAATAGATAACTTTAATGCAATAGTGGTACTAAATACTACCCTAAAGCAGGTTATATGTAACTTCAAATCAAGGGTCTCATACTGAGTGCCAGGTTAACAGTCACATTTCAAAAAGTATTAATCTCATTACAAAAATCATATAACATAAGCTCATTTTAAATTATTTAATAAAAGCTCATCCAATTCCTTTCTCTACTCATGTAAAACCAACTGTACTGTTCTCTCTCTTCCCCACCCAACTTGTTACCTCAAATCCATCTAAAGAAATAAAGAAGAAAAACAAAATTATTTCCAAGTTAAAAAATGGATTGGTGATGGCTGTAAAACCAATAACTCCTTTCCTTTAAAGAAATCCCTGGCTAAGGGGATTCGGCTTTTAATTTTTGAAATGAGAAAGAAAAATAAGGAAAACCAGAAAAGAGGGCATGCAGCATGTGGTGACCACCACAGGGAGGTTTTGAGCTGTTACACTAGATGTTAGCGACCCAAAATAAGAGCTCAGTGGAAAACAGAATAATTGAACAATTTGTGAGAGAAAACTTGTTGGAGACGCTATAATTGGAAAGGACAAGGGCAGAAAACAGATCCTTGACATAAGACCTAACAGTTATGGAAGTCATACCTTGGAGAATAACCAAGGCAATTGGAAGGTGAAGAGAGAGGCTTCCTTTCTCACAGCGAGGGCAAAAGTGATGAGGCTTTTCACCAAATAAGCAACATTGCTAGAAAGTGTACAGAAAGGGATGGGGAACTGAAAGATGGAAATATTTAGGATATCCAAAGGAGAACCAGCATAGCCACAGCCAGTCAGATTACTTCAACAAAACAGAAAAGCTGAAGGAACCAGAGGAAGAGATATGAGAGGGAAGTGTTTCAATTAGAAGTGGAACATCCTATTAATATCACACCTTAAAGACTTTACCACATACTTTCCTGAACAGTATTGAAAAGCTGCTAAGAGAAAGTTCAAAAAGAGGAATTTATGAAATTGATTCCATGAGAAGTTAGCTGAAATCTGCTAAGGAAATCTGAAAGGAACAAGCTGACTCTTCAAATTATCAGTTTATAAGCAATTTAAAATGAATTTTAATTTCTTTAGAGCAGTGCTTCCCAAACCTAGGTATATTGGATATTAGGTTTGGGGGTTTTTTTTGTTTTGTTTTGTTTTGTTTTGAAGTAATAACATGAACACATTACCCAATCACAACAGGGACATTTAAACTGACTGTTTTACCTACATTGGGTAAAAAGGACTTTCAAATAAGCAGTTTTGAGTAATGAAGAAAAAGTTTGGGAAGCACTGTTTTAGAGGAAACATTAACATTTTACATATAATCTAAGGTCAGAAAACTCATTGATTGTTGAAAAAAAGGACAGACGGGGCTAAGGAGAATTTCCTTTAGAAGATGATGAAATGTGGGCTTAGATCAGGTTTACTCATAGCTGCCTCAGGAGATGGAAAGTCAAAGACCCTGTTCTAAAAGCTATTTTAAATGGAGTCATGATAGCAGGTTAATTTGTTTTAAATAAAAATCCCCATATTAAATTAATAGGAGATGAAAGAAAAGGTATCTCAAAAAGAAAGAGGATATCGCAAAGAAATAAATAAGCCTTAAGAAAACAAAACATTTTTGGATAGGGGAAAGGTCCAAAACAGTGGTTAAAGAAAAAGGAATAATATAACCAGTTTCTTTAGTGATGAAAAAAGAAGCCACATCAAAACTTACTGTATTTAAGAAGAGCTCCAATGAAAACAAACCAGAAATGAAAAAAAGCAATTTCTAAATTGAAGAATGAGAGCAATGTTCAAAATGTTTCATCTTATGATAGATGACAAGAAACAGGAAGAAGCATCAGGAGGAAGAAATGTACAACAAAAAGATGAAACAGAATTAAAGAGAGAGCAGAACAAGAAGGTTAAGAACAAGAAAGATAAAAAGATAAAAAGAGAGAAATAAGAGCGACCAGAACGACAAGATCTATCTATAAGTAAAACTATGGAAGATGAAATAAAACTACTGTCGATTAATATAAATGGACTGAATTCTCCTATGAAAAGGAAAAGGACTTTTAACAGATTAGGAAAGTTAAAATTAGATTTTATTTGTCTTTAAGAGGTCCACATCAAAAAAACAACACAATAAATTATTGGAATATCCTAAAATTGGGAAACTATACTCCTCATTAGCACAACAAAAGAAAAGAGGGATGGTTTTATCTATTAAAGAAACAATAAAAGCAAGACAATTTTTTGCAGATGAAGAGGGGAGAATATTGATGGTGGAGGTAACAATGAACTATAAACAAATACTTTTGGTAGCAATATATGTACCAAATTATAAACAAGCAATTTTTTATGAAAAATTGCATAAGAAAATTACTGAATTGGAATATGAAAATATTTGTTTGGTATATTTCAATGCAATTATAGACGCAGAATTGGACTATAAAAGTAGTAAAGTAAGTAAAAAAGCTAGAAAAACGCTTCCAAAAATGTTCTTTAAAATAACGGAAAAAATAGGTATTCAATCTTATTGAATAGATATTTATTTTTAGAATAAATCCTAAAAGAAATTAATAGTCATTTTATTTAAACAGACATATGTCCTGGTCAAGAATAGATATGGATGTCACCGGAGATATGGATGTCACCGGAGTTAAAGTCAAATGTGCAAGAAATAGGGCAAATCATAATCCAACTGGAGTTCAGTGGAAAGGAGAAAAGAGAAAATGGCGATACTAAAAGACAAGGCATTTATACAAAGTATGGGGGAAAAATGGACTTTTTTTTCAAAGAGAACAGAAAAGAAGAAACTTCATTACAAAATGAATGGGACAATGCTAAGGCATATTTTCGGGGCCTGGCTATAACATATACAGGGGAAAAAACAAGAAAAAGAAATAAAACCAAAAAGACATTAGCAGAAGAGCACAAGAGACTGGAATTAGAATTAAAGAAAGAACCAAGCAAGAAGATTTTTAAAAAATCAAATGGAACTAATAAAACATAAAATAAATCTACTAGATAAAGAAGAATTGGCACAAAAAGTCAAAAATGCTAAACAGAACTTTTTTGAAAATTCAAATAAGCGAAGAGAAGAAATTGATACATAGGCTGGTAGATGAGAAAGGAACTTTATACTACCAAAATGAGGATAAAAAAATAATTCAAAATTATTATGAAAAGCTGTATGAGCAAGAGAAAGTTTCAGAAGAGGAAATTAAAGAATGCTTGGAAAAAGCAGAAGTACCTAAAGTACCAGAAACAGTGAAAGCTATGTTAAATGAACGAGTATCAATGATGGAATTGTCAGAAGCGATTAAGAGACAAAAGAGCAATAAAACACCAGGACCAGATAGGCTGCCGGCAGAATTTTACAAATGTTTACAAGTTACTCTAGGCCCATCAATGTTGGAAGTTTATAATGAAGTATTGATTAATGCGAAGGTACTAAATTCATGGATAGAAAGAAATATTACTCTGATTCCGAAAGAAGAATTAGATTTAATGCAGATAAACAACTATAGGCCCATATCTTTACTGAATGCTGATTATAAATTATACGCTTCAATAATGGCAGAGAGACTAAAAAGGTTTGTAAATGAATTTATACTTTCAGACCAAAATGGCTTCTTGCCTACGAGGCAGATTAAAAACAATATGAGAATGATTTTAAATACATTAGATTATTACGAAGCACATCTTGGGAAAACAAATGGCGTTGATCTTCTTAGATGCACAGAAAGCATTTGACAACGTAAATTGGCAATTTATGCTGTTACAACTAGAAACTGTGGACTTTGGTGAGAGATTTATTAATATGATAAAGGCAATATACCATAAACAAACGGCAAAGGTAATGGTAAATGGAGATACGACAGAGAATTTTAATATAAAAAAGGCACAAGACAAGGATGTCCACTATCTCCTTTACTATTGATATTATTATTGGAAGTGTTAAATAGAAATATTAGATAAGATACAGAAATTAAAGATATGGAAATAAAAAAGGAACAATATAAATTACAGGCATTCAGAGATGATTTGATCTTTATCTTGGAAGACCCACAAGAAAATGGACTTAAACTAATTAGGAAAATAGAAGAATATGGTGAAGTTGTAGGACTGAAAATAAACAAAGAAAAAAACCAAAATAATAGTTTAAAATATTATAGACACACAGAAAAAAGAACTAACGAGAAAAATAGGTATATAGATAGTCAAGAAAGTTAAATATTTAGGAGTTCAACTAATGGCAGGGTGTGTAATGATTAAAGAAAGTAATTATTATAAATTGGTGCAACAAATTAAAATGGATTTGCAGAAGTGGA